CCCGTTCCGCCGGGCTGGGCCGAGGGTGGCCCGGTGCCGCGGGCCCGCCGCGGTGCCGCGCGCCGCCAGGCCGCACTCACAACTCCTTGATGAGCACCATCTTCCCCGCGCAGCGCCGCACTGCGCACGCGCCGCCGCCCAGCCGCCACCGCGCGCTTCCGGCACCGGCGGCCGCGCCCCCGCCGCACTGCATCGCCCAATCGCGTCGCGCCGTGCGTCACCCGCCCCTCCCAGCGAACACGCAGCTCGCGGGGCTCCCACCGCGGCCAATGGGAGAGCGCGCGGCGCCTTCGCCCCGCCCRCCGACAGCCAATCAGGGTGGGCCGGCAGCGCCGCCGCGCCGCCAGGGGGCGCCTAGGCGAGGCGGCTCCCGCGCATGCGGCRGGGGCGAGGCCGCGGGCTGGGCGTGGCCGCCCCGCCCTGTCCCGCCCTGTCCCGAAACGAGGAGGCCCGTGAGCCAACACCGACCACCAGCTGTGCGGAACGGGAGAAGCGCTTTCCCAGTGATCATCTGCGACAGGAGCACCGCTCTCTGCAAGAACTAACACACAAAGCGGCCGAGGGAGCGCGCGGTGACCCCCGTGTCCCCAGGAGGGGGGCAGCCGCCACGGCGCCCATCACCCGCGCTCGCTTCCCCCGGGTCTGGGACAGAGCCAGCAGAGACGGCCACGCTGCACAGACCAGGCCAGAGCAGGAGACTACGGGACTGAGAGAACTCATGCTTTAATAGACACTGAAATCACAAAGGAAGAAGGCCAAATGCCTTAGCAATTTCAATAAAAATATGAAAATCTTTTTACATGGTAAATTTCATAATATAAAAAAGTTTAATGCTGTCTGGAAACAGAGTTTTAATTTACAAAAAAAGTCCATACAGGCCAAAGATGGCTAACACTGCATACAAGGAGAGCAAGTGCGAGGGGCTGCTGCCGGGAGGAGCCCTGCTGATGGTCCCCGTGGAATTCCATGCCCAAAGTCCTTGTGAAGGCGCCAGCCGCGCACTCGGCTGCCCACGCAGCCTCTGCGCKGCACGCGGGGCGCCGTGATCCCCAAACCGCTCCCGTCCACTCTTACCAGCCCAGAGCGACCACTGCTTCGTAACACCCCGCAGATCGGCCGTGCTCCTGCACCAGCCCCATCTGAAGGAGATGTTCAAACAGAGAAGTCTGACCTAACGAAAGGAAATATGGCTGAGGGCTAGACCTATGGGTGGTGCACCCCTTCAATGCGTTTTCCTTGCTTAAATAAGATATGGTTAAAAAGAAGGAAAAAATCGGTACCTGGCCAAAGTTCAGGCTAACCAACAAAATGAAATGAAACTGTTTTGATCACTGAGACTGTTTACTATTCCCATTTTAGCTTAAACTAAAGACAGTCAATAAAATATATGTAATTAGTATCTCACACAGTAAAATGTACTGGGTAAAACCAAACTAAAATACATTCTATTGCCTTGGGGATTTTCTGAATGTGGAAGGTTTCATGTGAAAGTGGATAATACCTAATTCTTATTGCTCACTGTATATAGCAGTGTTGTCACTTGTACCATGCACAAATACAACAACGACAAATGCATTTAACTCCACAGAAGGAATTCTAATATCAAAAGGAGAACATGTTGTTTTCATTTCCTGAATTTCTCCACATACTGGGCAAACCTGATAAAACTTTTTTTTCCTCACTAAAGGGTTCTTTCTCATTCAGGGGGTGGAGGAGTGAGGCACGAGGTGCGTGAGTGTATCCCAACCATGACAAGCATGCATGTTCATAGCTCTCAATAAGCCAGTGGAAGTGCCCGGTCTCAATGGAAATACATTTCTCGAAAGACTTGTTCTACCGACACTTACCGTCCATATTTATATAGTGCCAATTTCCCAAATACGGAACTTCTGCTACGTCTCAACTGCTTCTAGAGCTTCCCCCTCCCAGTCATACAACAACAAAGGACTTAACTTTTCAGAAAGAGTTAGTTATCCAAAGCCAATGTGAAACCTGCTGACAGCATAAAAATGGGCTGTACCAAAATGGCAATATATAATTTCTACAGATTAAAGATCCTTTAGTTATGGAAGTAAACTGAAAGTAGAGAGGCTTGTTTCTGTTATGCAGCAGTGCAGGGAGTATTTGCTGTTGCTATAAGCAAAAAGCTGCCACTTCCATGCTGGATGTCCCTGGGCTGTGGGCTGTGTGGGTGATGCACAGAGCTGGTCACCAGGAGCCTCCGGGCAATCTTGTGACCACCACGGGTTGCACCATCAGCAGTATCTCTGTCTACACGAACTGTACGTGTTGCACTGACTCCGTTCTGACCGCCATTCTGTCTCTTCCTGCTTAAGGAAGAAGATACCTAGCACCAATCCGTCACCGGAAAACGTAATGCACCGACAAGTAACTTGGTCACGTGAGATTTTTCTTGTTTTGCTACATTACGTAACATGAATAAATGAACAACTAAAGTCTTGTCTTTCATTTCTGAAACTCTTGTCATCCATCCCTCATTAGCTGGCTAAAACAACACGGTTCTATATTCTAGGTCTTCAGTGCTCATATTAATTCCTTGCAATGGTGAAAAGGAAAGCATTCCTCCAAAACCACTGTATTCTTGCATATAATCAATGTAAGCATTTGATATGTGCACCATCAGAAAGCTGAATGTAAGCAAGGTTATATTAAGGTGTCAAGAGTTTAATCTTCTGTCCTGCTACCATACCTTTCCTCCAAGATCCTAAAGAAAATCACACATGGTCAGGTCCATATTTTCAAGAGGAGCATCCAGACATGATGAGAGGAACAACTGTCTGCATCGACCATGTCCCCCTCGTGCAGTTGGAGCTGACTGCACTCTCCCTTCAGGGAGTCCGTGCAAGGCTGGAAGTTGACTTAAGATCTGACTGAAATGCGGGACCTAATTAACCAGTTAAGTCTCACAACACCTCTGTGAGGTAGGTAGGTAAGTATTACTATCCCCACTGAGAAGGGAAGACGAGGCACAGAGAGGTGAAGTGATTAGCCCCCAGTTGCCCAAGAAACTCGGGGAGTGCAGAACAGAAACCAAAAGCCTTGGTGATCCAGTGCTCCGACTTCATAGCTCGTGGCCTGCAAAATACTTCTCTTCGATCCAAGAGTGCAACGTGGCTGCATTAAAGCTACCACATGTCATAATTTCAGTGCATCTGAGTTATCACCTGTGATTATTACCTCACTGCATTTGAATGACCACATGAAAAAACCCCAGACCTGTCAAAAATGATCTGTTATACCTAAGCACAGCCTAAGAGAGAGAATTGTGTTTTACTCATCATGCCTGGGCTGCTCTTTTTTACTATTCTCTCCATGGGTCAGAGGATGCATAGATTCTGCAAGCAGCCAGTCTGCATGGCACGTCCATCCTTCACATGTTTGGATTGCATGCGGACATAAACCCATCTCATGTGCTTACTCTGGGGCACTCATCTGCAAAAGAAATGAGTTTCCACAGGAGGGAAAGGATTTGATGACCTGGAAAGATTCAGCAGATTTAGCGATGGATTTATTTGGGCATGTGTTTTCTAAATCACATTACCCTCATGTCAGATTTCTGTATACTGTGGAACTGTAAAATACTGCTAAGCTTCAGCATTTCTCTCCCTTTTCTGTGCACATTTAGCAGGCAGAAGACGTCTGTGCAGATCAAATACTTGCCAAGATAAAAACTCTACCTTTATGAATTTAGGTGCCAGAAAGACCAGTTCAATAAAACTGGAACTTTTCTCTGACACACTCCCCCAGCTCACGTGAAAGGCTCAGATTGTTCATTATGCCCCAAACATTATTCTGGGAGCAAAGCAACCAGCAAAAAAATTCACCTGAATGGTTTCACTCCAGAGCCACAGTACTCGAGAAGGAGGTTTTGCAATGGGACACCCCTCTCCTCCCCTCTGCATCCGCAGCCGCTGCACGGTGCTAGACAAGTGCCAGCATCACACTGCTACGGAGGGGCTGCACCTGCATTCGGCTAACTCAGCAGAGCGATCTGGGCGTCTTACCCTCTTCATCAGCCTCCAAAAGCAATCAAAGAAATGGCTTGTACTTCTCTAGGCAGAAACTTGTGCATACTCTTTCTTTGTGGTATAAATGAAAGTTTTGCCTTCTCTCACTTCCCTCCCCAATCCCTGATATGTATTAATTTCTGTATAAAAAGCTCCTGTTAAGATAAGAAACGCAAGTAAGTGGCTTAAGAGCTAATTTTATGCACAGACAACTAGATTCATTGGACCTGCTGCTGCAAATACTGAACACTGTTAGAACTGTTACCAAGTGAGTCTGTCCATGGTCCAGGTAAGGGGAACCAAAACCATCTACGTACAGCCCGCGTTCTTGCGGCGAACGCAGGGCCAACCTGTTGCACTCCCATGCGGTGCCGACTGGGGTGCGCACGGCTTTTCAGGCAATATGCTATGGTTCTGTATTGATATAGGCAAGTGGGCAGAAGCAAATACTTTTAACGAAACGGTAAGTCATCAGTTGGTATACAGGACATTTCAACATTTGGAGGAAGGAAAAAATCTTCCCGGTGACAAGAACTTATACCCATTCCCAGATGGCAGCCTCAAAGGGCGCACAGTTCCCGGAGCACTACTGGAAGGTGTAGAATGAGTTGATGTCACTGCATTTGTGGACTCAGGGCGCCTGTGTCCATTAGGAGGGTTCCTCTGTGGAGAAGCAAGGTGTTGCTGAATAGATAGGTCCTTTAGCTCCAGCTTATCTGCACTTTCTTCTTTGCTGTGTCGTGGGGACAAGTTTAGCAAGCTGAGGACATCTTTCTTAGAAGTCATTGTTCCAGGAGCTCCTCGGAAGATCTTTATTGGGCCAGGGGAGTGCTGGGGAGTGTTCTGCCAGAACATCTTTAAGTTGTGAATTGCCTGCACTTTTTCATCAATGGCTGCCATCTTTAGTTTGTCTATATCTGGGGCATCAGCTGGGCTTGAGCGAGCAGAACCAGCTGAGGAATAAGACAGAGCAGGAGATGGAGTGCTGCCACCAGGAGACTGATGCCCTGAGCTTGGAGAGATATTTCTGGGTGATTTAGAAATATGAGCACTGTAAGGAGAGCTGGGGTACTTGAGTTTGAAGTGGGGCTGCTCAGTTAAGGATCCATGTGAATCAGAACTTGGCGATGGATGCCCGCTGTACGGGCCCGTGCCTTCTTTGATCGACATCTCGGATGTCGTGGGGCTGTTATAGCCAGAACTCACTTTCTGCAGGGACGAACTCCTTGTTGGAGGCTTTGGTTTAATTGCAACAGGTGACGACTGGTTCTTCTGACTGGAGCTGACTGGCCTACTGAACGCACTGGTCTCCGAGGATCTGAACGCAGATGCACCTGCAGGTGTGGAGGCCCCGTCGTCCGAGTTGTTGCTTTTGCTTATTTGACTGCTGCTTCTCTGAAGACGTTCAACAGCAATGAGGTGACTCTGAGTTTCCTCCAGAATTTTTTGGGCCAGCTCTTGGGGATCAAGCTTTGGAYTGCTGTCCTCCTGGGACTTGACAGTGCTGTCTGTCTCAGTGCTAGATTGGTCAGATTCCCCAGTATCAGAACTTGCAAGTTTCCCAACTTTTTGGAAAGGTGAATTTGGACTGGGAATAAGAGTCATTTTAACTGGAGAATTTGGGGTACTTAGATTCCCCTTGGAAATGACAGATTCTTTAATACTTCCAGTCTGACCAGTTTTAGGCTGTTTATGATCAGGGGAAAATCTTGTTTTTATGTTTTCTTGGTAACTGGCCAAAGGCTCATTGCTAATTATGGAAAATCCTTCATATTCCTCCTCATCTTTGCTCACTGCAGTGCTGGTTTGCAGTGACAGCTGGCTCTGTGCTGCAGAAGGCCTATGTGGATAGACGTTCTTGGGCCTCTCGTAGTCCTGGCGCCCTCTGTGCCCGGCACCATCTGGATTGCTCTCTGGCTTGGAAACAAAACTCATGGAAGAAGCAATGGAGCTCAGGCTATACACAGAAATGGCATCTGATGCAATGCTATCCGGACAAGTAGGAGAGAATGGAGGGTTTTGATACTGAGGTAATACTGGGTTGGAAATAGACTGAGCAGAAGCCAGAGATTCTAGTGATGAGGAACTGTCCAGGCTAAGGCGCTTAGGAAGCTCCGTAGAATCTAAGAAAAGAAGAAAACAACATACATGTACAAACACATCCCTAACTGCACTCTAAAACCAGGTAAAGTCCTCATCAGAATTGAGAAGAAATGCTCTAATAAGTACGTAGGCTTTATGCTACTCTAAAATAACTACTACTTAGTCAAGAAGAATTATATGCAAAGCTGAGGAAGTGCAGGGGCAGAAACTCAGTCTAGGTATCCTACATGGATTAGCATTTTAGATCTCAAAAAATAATCATGGGCTACTCATCCACCTGATGACAGATTCTAGTTCCAACTTTGGCCTCAGTCAATTCTTTGTGTTTGTTTCCCATTTTGTAAAATGAGGCAAATATTACCTTCCAGACAGTAGTGCTACAAGGCCTGATACAGTTTTCCTTGGAAAACATTTTGAACTATCCAGACACATACCTTCTACTTGAGCATCTTTCTAGCAGAGCAGTCTTATAATGCTGTCTGCCTGTATGGAGCATTTTTGGCAGGCAGCTTTTTCGGGAGGCAGCTAAAGTTTGAAAAATTATATTTATATATAAAAAATGTTTGCTGCACCTCTGTATGATGTGTGGTCTATATCAAGCATGTATGATGATATAGGCATGCATGCCCAGAAGGTGAGAACATGAAATACCAAGAAAGACCATTCTGTTCAAATCAGCAGATGGTACAGGAAAGAGATTGCTGTGAGTAGCTTTACCAAAAAGTGCCAGCAAGGACTGTAGAGCAAAGTGCATTGTCCTCCTATTAGCTTGTTTCCCAGTTTTCAGAATCACCTCCTCTTGCCCAACTTCACAGAGATCAAACCCTGCAACAGAATATGAAGAAAAAACAACAAAAAAAGTCATATCTCATAGAAAGAGTTATAGAACGTCTTAAAAGAGTTATCTCCTTTATAACACAAAGAGAACATAGCAATATGAGATCCTGCAGTGTCCTAGACCGATGTGTCCCACAGTGTACACTTGCTGATTTGTTTTTATTACTCTATAGCATGTCTACTTAAGTAAGTAGTAAGAAGATTTAAGGTGCCACATTTAATATATACACTAATAACTCCTATCCAAACTAATAGATATGATACAGCACTCATTTTTTAATGTGCAAATTATTCAGAATTGTCAAGAAATCATACATCTTTCTGGGGAGTGGTCCTACGTGCCCCTACCATTCATCATTAATTCAAAGATTTCTCATAGAAATAYGCCTAAAAAAGAGCAGAGACCTTGAAACTTAGCCAGTGAGGGTTAGGCAGAAGGGGGAATAAATGTGTACTGGAAACTATGTCCAATGTTTGCTAGATCTTCTTATAAACTTCCTGGGTGTCTCTGTTTGCAGTGCTGCAAAATGCAATGTCCTTCCCCAAAGCAGGGTCCAGAAGAGAGTAAGAAATACTTTGGTATTTAGTTCTCATTTGTCTTTTCTGCAGGATGCAACCCTTGGTACACACTGTCACTCCGGTATGTCCTGTCCTCGCTCAGTGCACAGGTCATGTTGCCAAAGGAACAGCTGGTAAATTCCAGAGAGAATGCCAGAAGCAAACTCACTAGAATGCAATTCAAACAGAAACAGGATCCCAAAATAAAAGATGAGGTTGAGCCATCCTGATGGCACCAAATTGCTGTCTGCCCTGAAATCCATGTTCTGCTGTCTCAGGAGACATTTGAGTGTATGCAGAAAAACTCACCCTGCCACTGACACATCAGTGAGTGCATGTGAACAGGTAGGGATGTACTGAGCAGACAGGGACCACCTCCAGAGCTGCAGAGAAACAAGCGGTGCCCAGGCAAACAACTCACGCAGCGCCTTCCAACGCTACTGGAATCTACCACATGCAATATGAGTTGTAGTAAGAAAATGGAAGGAAGTGTTTTCCTACCTAGAGCTGCCAAAAACTCGTGACAGCCAGGAAGCCTCCAGAGCTGGACACTGATTGAAACCTGGATTGGTGCGGAGGAGAAATCTTGCTCCTTTTCTCCTGCCTGAAGTTGAACCAAGACTTGATGCAGCTGAAGATAACAACACAAACATTAGCCATTCCTGACGCACCACATCATCACTTTTCAGATGAGAAACTAAATAAATGCACTGCAAACAGCCCCTTCTCTATAGACCTATGTAGACAGCTGCTGCCCCTGAGCAGAACAGTGAGATGAAAAGGCCTGTGAGTGCGGGGACCAGTTCAGGGACAGTGATGATTGACAAGCCTGAACACCAGCAAAGCAAGGGACAGGACAGGGCTAGAGATGTGGTCAGCGGAGGAAGAGCAAGGAGGAAGCACAGCAGGAAAATCTGGGACACGAAAGAAAAAGATAAGAAAAGAAACACTTTGGGGCTGCTGACAGGCATTTGCTAAAGCCCATTCCGTGACTGAGCCATACTCCATATGTGAATCCCAACATCATTATTATGTGAATTCTCAACATTAAATTGGGCAGAATAGAATCATGTGAAACTATGGAAGACTTTTCCAATACCTTCATGGCTTCCTGGGAAAGAAGTTTCTCATCTGGCCCAAGAGACAGAAGTAGAAAAGTTCAGAAAAAAAAAGTGGTTTATGAAGATCTGACACAAATTTAGATGCCAAGATCCCAGGGAACTCAAGTCCAGACAGGCAGAAAGAATGGCAAGTTGCTAATCCAGGACCAAATGCTTCCCAGGACCACCCATCTCAGCCTTACAGCCCACAAGGGCTGACACTGTCTTTTCTCCATACTAGCGTTACAGAGCAGCCCCAGGCCTGCAGGCCAGGGCCGCCCTGCGGCTCAGGGAAAGAGTCTGCAGTGGCGATGCGCTCTGTCCGTGCGCTCCGTCCTGCACAGGACTCTTGATCCCGCCTGCTTGTCATACTCACCATTCCCACCATATTTTTAACAGCCTTCGGGCAGCAGATAACAAGAAAGAAAAAAAAAAAAGAAGAAAAAAAGAAGGAAAGAAAGAAATAAAGAACATGGGTTATTCTGGGCTACAACATGCCTGTGAGAGGGAACCCTGCCATGCAGCGACACATGTGCATGCAAAACAGCATCCTGAGTGCAAGATGCTCTAACCAGGGAGAGGAGAGAGCAATGGAAATGGCCTGAGCGGTGAATGGGGACGAGCCCAGCAGCTGAAGTGGCAGCTGGAGCCTGGCAGCACCCAGCCCACCACAACCATGGCACAGGTCCCCGGCCAGCCCACGTTCTGGCAGGAACCAAAGCACAAACAAGCCCCTCTCTTGTTTTCTCTGCGATACTTTTATCAGCCCTTGCTGCAGTCAACAATCCCTAGATTTTTCCTGTACATGCTGTACTACCACAGTTCTTCCTTTTCCAGTTCCTACCTTCCACTTGTGCACATAAAAACACCCAAGCAAGAGATCTGCTCGTGCCCTGCTGACGTCAAGAGCAGTTGCTCCATTATGAAACTCACTGCTCCGTCTGGAGAGGGAGTGGGCAGCTCTATCCAGCGGCTGCACGTTACAGCCACCCATCATCACAGCTCTGAATGCAGGCAGCTCTCACCACATTTTTAGCAGCATTCTGTCCTTGGGGATGGCAGAGCCGTAGCTGCTCCCTACCTGAGATGCTGGGAACAGGAGGGAGGAAACACAACTAACAGCAGAGGAAGGAAGAGCTAACTCAAAACCACCCCAACTTTTAACAGGGTAGACTCATGCAAAGGGAAATCTGTGTTTTTTAGAGCTACTGAAAAACATTTGCAAAAACAACACAACATCTCTTCCAACACAGGGAAGTGCTAAGCATCACTTTAGTTAGCTGTGTACAGCCAACAAAAATATGAATTTCTTTTCCTTGCATGGTTGAATTACTTGAGGCAATACAACAGGGACACAACCTCGGGGATATTGCTGCACATACATATCTACCAGCGTGTCCTTTATTCCTCACGTCCCACTCATTTGGGGCCTCCCTCTGGTGGCAATGAGGACAAAATAACGAGCTGCTGCTCAGCCTCGAGGGCCTCGGGCACTGACAGAAGAGCTGAGGCAAGACAGCAAAACCCCATGAAACACCAACTGTTGGAAACATCTCGCATGCTACTATATGCTCTAGATAAAAAAGAAGGAAAAGAAAAGCATCTTGAAACAGATTCAGTCTCATGGACAACCAAAATAGGCTTCTTAAAAGTAACTGCAGAGCTGGATCTGTTTTTTGGTGCAGAGAGACTAAACAGGCCAGAGTGAAGAGGACCCTTCAACAAGAGCATGGGGATAGCCCCAGCTCCCCATTGCAGCCCTTCCTGACAACAGCAGAAGCTGAGCTACGCACCTACCCACAACATACACTGCATGCACTCACTGAAGCAGGCAAATGAGCAAGACAAACTGTGTTAGAGGAGAACCAGGACAGTAAGAAACATGTGACGGGCGGGCCGGCCGGCTGATGGCACACGGAAGGTCGGGCTGGGCCATGCCAGAACGGTGAGGAGAGAGGGGCCACGAAGAGGAGCCGGGTCCTGGGCGGCAGCGCTCGGCTCCCAGGGACACCGGCTCCTGCTGGCAGAGCTGCCCAACACCACAGCGGCGGCTCTGGCTCGAGAAGCCCCTCGCAGACGTCGCGCCCGCCGGGCCAGAGCAACTGCCTGGGACACTGGTAGTTGCTCTGGACAGACACCAGCCAGCGTGGGCCTCGACAGGGCTGTCGGGAAGAACCTAGTGCTTCTACCACTGGTTCTCCTGTATTTTGCTTCCCTCTCACTGCTCTCCATGTTACGTTTTCACTTCTTTCTCTGAACTGGGAGACCTGCAGCTCAATAACATGCCTGCATTTTGCCCTCCTGGGCACTCACTGTCACTCTCACAACAAGGCACGTTTACAATCTCAATACCGAAGTCTCCTATCATGCAGCCGCTGGGCGGAGAAACTGGGGCGTAAGCCATTTTGTGCATCTCTGATCCCACTGGCCTGGAAGGAAGCATTTGGAAACCAGTGTTGGAGAGAAACCTCCCAACTTACCCGACTGATAAGCTGTTCTCCGGTTTCTGAAGCTGTGATAAGTTTACAAAGTGCCTGAAGTGCAGGGTTCGGCAAACCTGAAAAACATCAATGGCAAAGGGGCTCATTCAAAAATGRTTTCTTGATTGTTCAATCTGTTTCTTATTTGGTTCAAAATCTGTTTCTTGATACAACAATCTGAATAGGACACTCAGCTAACTCCTAAAATCACTTCCCTGCAGCAGTGAACAGCTCTGGAAGCAGCAGCAACTTCTAGAAAGCAAAAGCATTTTCCCAACATCATACTTGATTACAAAGTTTCTGACTGAGAAAGGAACAGTCGCATCATGCTTCTCAGATACTGGATCCAGCGGTAAATATTTCCATATATGACAAAATACTCAATAAACATTTACTTCTAGGGATTCTCTTAGCTATATACAGACTCTGATTTTCTTTTCCTTGCATGATTTAATTATCTGAGGCAAGAAGACAAATGGGACACAATCTCAGGGATACTGTTACACATACAGATCTACTGGAATGGCCTTAACTCATCACATCCCACTTGTTCTGGGCCTCCCTCTAGTGGTAACAAGCACAAAATAACCCTCTGCTATTCAGCCATGAAAGCCTCAGGCACTAACAAGAGATTTTGTCCCATTAAAGGCTTTTATTTTGCTATTGTAAAGACCTGCAATATCATGAAACAGATTTCATCACTGCGCAGGAAGAGCAGGGAAAGGCAGCAGCGCGCGGGCAGAGCCACGGCCGGGCTGGTGCTCACCAAGGAGGGACTGCAAGGTGGTGCTGCACTGCTGCAGCCGCTCGCCGGGGTCCGCCGTGGGGAAGAACACGGCGGCAGGGAGCCCGCTGGCGGGGGGGTCCAGGCGGAAGCCCACGGCCGTGAGCAGCGCCTGCCAGCCGGGAATGCCGCCCACTTTGTTCTCCACGCTTTGCTGGGAAGTGTACATGGAGTTGTGCTGCCCGTTCTGGATCCGCTGCAATGACTTCTCCACCTTCAGGGCAAAACACAGCATTAACTTATTTTATAAGAAAGTTTTATTAATGATCCCTGTACACAGTGAAGAGGCAGGAAGAGCAAGACTAACATTCAGTCTGCCTCATCTTACACAGAAGAATGTTAGAGCCCTTGGAATAACTCAATATTCAGTTGCAAAGCTGCTGTGATCAGTCACTCTTCCCTGGGATGGATGCCATAGGAAGATGCCTCAGGAACACGAATGCTACAGGAAACTAGATGCCAGTTTGGTTGTGATCATTCCTATAGACTGGCAGCACATTTGTCCCCAAAAGGTGACTCATGCTCAGGCTCCAGTCTCTTGAGCACACTGCTCATTACCAGGCAAGACTGCGCAACCAGCTATATGTTAAAAACCAAAAAGGGAAGTGTTCGCAATAAACAGCAGTTGGAAAGACTATGATTATTCATTGGTTTCCACAACCCAATGGATATTCCACATTCCTGTGGCAGCAGAGAAGACACATTGGAAGGAAAACTACCCAGTATCATAAGAGATGATTCTAACCATCTGTCAGCTTGGCCTCGGTCCTGCTGCTCCCCACAGCTGGCTACTAGCCCATATGGGAACAGAAGTGCCTCTTATCTCCAAATATGCAAAAAGACAGTGGTCATTACATTGTTCTACATCTCCATTTACTACTTCACTTGCATTGTCTGTAGTTATTTTCTTATAAAAGCAATATCATCAATTATCTCATTTTTAAGGCATGGGCTCAATTCCTAGCTATTGCAAACAAGATGAGTCTGAACAAGAGTTTGTTACAACACAAGGTGKGACTTGGTACCTGCTCTGGATATTCCATCAGGCATTTTCCCTGTGACCCAGAATTTTGGTAAGATACCACCTTGTCCTGAGGGAGAAAGGTTTATCTTTGGGTGCGAGGGATTAAATGCTGTTGTTCACAGATGCACTCACAAGCAGCACCAGTTCAGGACTACACTGCTGCAGTGTCCCTCCCCATGTCTGCTCGGTGCTGCCACGTGTCCCTTCTCTTACCAGATGCAGCAGGACACGCAGAGCATCCCGTGCCCTCTCAGGGTGCTGCAGAATCTCGGTCAAGGCCTGTCCCACCAGCAAAGAAGGGCTGTTCAGCTTCACATCACTCCCGATGAGCGTGAAGCCTGCAGGACACAGAGTGAGAGCTTCTCAATCTCCTCTCATTGCAGGACACTTGCCAAACAGGCAGATACTCCCTGCCCTTTCAGACTAATGAAATAAATGGTTCATTGTCCCCCGCAGAGTTACATTCTTTCCCTAGAGCAGTTGTCCATTTACTCAATCCCACAGACTGAACTTCCAGAAAGCTCCCTGGATGCTTCTTACTCTCCTTCTCTATTAAATCAATACTGTTTTGCTGTTCAAGCAAGTGGAAAAACGCTTTGCTGCAGCTAGAGCCGTCCTAGTGTGCTCCATGTCTGCTTTACAGCAACAGAAATCAATAGATGCTAAACAGAGCCTAGAAACAGCAGAAATCAGAAAACTGAGCGTGTTCTTGGCTGGCTGCACGTAAGAACACTCGTGTGTGCCGGCGCTGCACAGGCCGCTCTGCTCCCGCGGCCGCGGCGCTCTGGGACCCGCCGCTAACCCCCACAGCAGGGACATGGGGACACGGGGGACTCTGTTCAGAAGTCACAGACAAGCAGCACTAGGACAGTCTGAGTGACCCAGCTTGGTGGCAAGGCTAAGAGCCCATGTCCACAGGCAATGTTTTGAAAGGCACTGGATTTTTAAAAAAATATTATTTGAAAAAACTCTTTTCTTTGAGACAGCAAGTTCTTAAAAGGAAAATAAAGGAAAATAAAATACCAGTTGGACTGTGGTCTAACCTAAACCCACTCTCTGAGTCACATCCTAACAYAGAACTCGGGCAGCCTCCCAGACCAAGCCCTGGCGTCCCCTCCGGCTTCCCGCTCGTCCCACCTCGCTCCATGTGAGCCACAGGCCCAGCAGCTCCCTGCTCCAAACACCAGGCATGGCTGCCTGTGCAGAAGGGAAAACATTCGGAGAATGTTTGCAGCTTTTAAGAATCAGAATTTGTGCTGGGAGAAAAACTGTAGCTTATTTACCATTACCCGTACTAGCACCGGGACTTTGTGTTTCTGTATCTCAGCTCACTAAGTAGCTGAGGAGTGAGGGCCCGCACGTCCCCATGGCTCTGCTCGCACTGCTGGGAAGCTCCCATGGGAAGCTTCCACTTCAGGGGCAAATCAGTGAGACCTCTGAGGTCTCTGCCACAGAAACCACAGGTGCCAAGTGCTGCTTCTAGAAGGACTGCTCTCGTCTCCTGACAGTCAAACCTACGTTATCAGGGACTCAGTTCTATCAACTGGAGCAAACTCCAGCTAAATTCATTCCAATCATGGAGGAACCAGGCYCCAACCACATTCACCCATGCAGTAAGTGAGCTTTGTAGCAGACATTATCTCATTCCAGTCATGAAACCATTGCGATGAAGCACACTGCACCCTCACAATTGTTTTAAATCACAAAATCCCTAATTTATATACGGACTGTATGCTGTGAAATGCTCCTGTGTCCCATGGTGATGACATCCAGCTCCCTTGAAGGAATCACATTACGTGATCCAAAGCACAGGGGATGGCTCCTGGGAGTGCACAGGTGACATGCAGCTCCCAGTCATCCCTTAGCATCATTCCTTGCTTTATACAGGCAATTTGGCTTAAGAGTCCTTCCCCAAAGCCCCATGTAGTTCATCAAAAGTGAATCTCCCTACCTGCCCAGTTGGATGGGTGTGAAAACTGCTTGCTGCTCTGTACAGTCTTCATTGCTTCCCCAAGGGCTGCACTGGCTTTCATCCCATTTAAGAGGGAGGAATAGAAGGCGTGCACAAACATTTTGGAAGCAGCCACAGGAACAGGCCATAGTGACACCAGCACACACTGGGCCCCAGCAGCCAGGAATGCTCTTGTCAAGCCAATGACCCCATCAGCAGTGACTTTGCTGTTGGATTCTTGGTAAGACCCAAGAACCACTAATTTAACAGGAAGCCGCAGATCCAGGACATCAGCTGCTGTGAGCAGAAACTCCTGGAGAGGAGGGCAGTCCGAGATGCTCTCTGCATCGCTGGCATCATCCTGCATCCGAAGGGATTCTGGGATTGTGTAGGGGTTCCCAAAAGAGCTCTTGCTGCTGGCTGGATTGCTGTCAGTGTTGGGTGTCAGGACCAAGGCAGCCAGTTTCCAGGAGATGTGGGTGGCAAAATGGACACATTCTGCCTGAGACAGGGCACTCATAACCCTCTCCTTTGTTGCCGCGTTGCCAACTAAGGGTTGGCAGCCAAGTAACTCGGACACCATATAGGCCTCCTCTTCTGCAGAGGGCATAGGTCCCCACAGCCACCTGTCCATAACTGCTGACGGGAGCTTGGGATTTCCCATGACAGCTGCCATTGAGGTAGAACTGGAGAAAGCAGGAGTATTCTTCCTCACGTGGGACTGCAGAGAAAAAGCAACAGAAAATGGAGCTCAAAGACCTGAGGGGCCTTTTTCCACGTGGAGGGCTGCCAAGCAGCCAAACATCTCAGTCTGCTAGGACACAGTGAACTCTGCCACAAAGCTCAGTCTAGATCACCTACATTTCTGCAGTCTACCACAAATGTCCACATCTGAGGACATGATACCCTTAGAGGAGGAGATCCAGATGATCCATTCCCTGTCCTCCCCATCTGTGAGAATTGTATCAGAATCTGCCTCCCACCCACTGCTCAGTGCACTCCAGAGCTGGCGTGCCTTGGGAGAGAGGCACATCTGCAACTCCTGCTCTATGACTAGGCGCAGCAGGACACGGCCGCTGCTGTTCCAGCATGCACCAGACCCGCCTCACCGGAGAGGCCCACGAGAGACAGGGGGCAATGACAGACCTTGGAGACGGGGTTCAGCGACTGGATGGACGGCACCGCAATGAGGCTGAAGCGCTCATAGAGGTACTCGTTGGAGGAACTGCCCTTCAGAAGAGCAAAAGGAATGAGGTACAGTTCTCCCTCAAGAACCAGGATCAGCTGGCGGTGGCGGCCAACGGGACCGCTGGAATGCATCAAACCCTGGAAAGGAAAGAGAGGATCAATTTGGTCCATGCAGTGCATCAGTCCCACGGATGGCACTCACAGCACACTGGCCTCTAGTCTGATCCCACAGTCTGATCTCTTCATGAGCACACATTTGACCAAGCTGCTGTGACCGGTGACCACATGTGGACATTTGACAGTTCTGTAAAGTTGGACTGTTGCTTTCATCTGTGTGCAGTGCTCAGTCCCTCTTTCCCCCTTGGTCATGGTTCGTCTCTCATGCTGGGGAGCAACATGCTGACTGCCGAGTCCTCCTGCCAGATGCACTGACCCATGTCCCCAGTGGTCACAGCACAGCGGGAATTTGCAGCCACCCTCGAGCTTCAGCTCTCAGGCAGCAGCAAAGATGAACGAACATTAATTAAGAAAGAGGAAAATCTGCCTGGCYGTCTCCCCAGAGGGAGTCTAAAATACCAAAACCAGGTCAGAGAGGAGGGGGAAAGTCACACAGCAGAAAGCTGAGCAGACACCGAGATGCTTTTACATGTTTTTGGCTTTCAAAGCAGGAACAAAACTGCTGAAGGGCAAGAAAATCTTTTAAAAGGAGTTCGAAACAGTTGCTGCCCTCTCGCCATTTCTCCTGTCCTCCGGCAGCTCCCCGGCTCCCCGCACTCCACTGCCCGGCGGCAGCAGCGCGGGGTCCCCAGGGCTGGCGCGGCTCCCAGTGCATCCAGCGCGCGCTCTGCGGCTGTGCCACAGAGAGCCAGCCGTCGAGGGCAGCTTCCCGATGGGCGTTGCTGCTCTGTGTGTTGTCTGGTTTTATTTTTTTTATATATTCTGTTTGACTCCCTGCTCCAGGAGCTCTATTGGCAGCAGAATATAAGCCACCATGTCATATGACTTGCAGGATTTTCCATTTGCATGGAAAACTGTTAGAGTCTAAAATACTTTCTTTTTCCCGTGTATTAAGGAGAGAGAAATAAAGTTATGAGGCTCATTTGTATTTCATATACCTCCAAGGATTATGTTTAGTGGTGAGTTTTAACAAAGAAAGAGATTTCCATGAGAAAGAGGAGCAAGGGTTGAACGGGAACCCACGGTTTGCTTTACAGCAACAACACAGGCTACCCTGGTAGAGCTGGACAAGCCTCTGTGCCTGACTAACAGGGAAAACAGCAGTGCTGCATTAAACCTGCTGACAGTCACTGGCTCAAATGGGCCTCTTTACAGCTAGCGCTGCTGTAATCAGAATTTTCCACTACAATGGAACACCCAGACCACATGCCACACCTGAACTGCATTTTTTAGACTGTATGCTAGCAGAGATCCCAAATCTGGTAGTTCTGCATGTTCCAAAAGTCCCATTGAGCCTGTTACCCAAGGTCTTACTGGTAACGTATCAACTTGATGTATGAGATGCACAAAACTACCAAGCAAACCTGACTACAGTTATTCCTGGTCTGCAGGGAGGAAGGAGGGTTCCTTCGAGTCAAAGATTTCTTCTCAACATTGCATACCTATTTAGACTATTGCAYATGTTACATTCCCTGGAAAAGCCATTTTGAAGACACAAAGCTACTTGCAGCAGATGACACTGAAAACCAATAAATGCCTTTTTCTACCCCAAGGAATCTATCTAGCTTCCCTGCTGCAAACAAGTTGCACGTGTGTCTTCTGGAGCAGATGTGCCTGCTCTCCGACACCTAGGTCGGAACGAATCATCGAGCAATCCAGCTACTCTTTGCTCATCTGTTCATCTCTTCAGTTCATCAGCACAGGATGTTTCCCTGCCTGCACCCTCAGTGCCCAAGCTGACAACAGCTCCTCGACACCAGAGACAGCCGGGCTCATAGCACAGTCTAGGTCAGGTCTTGCGATGCTCAGGCAGTAAGTAAAAGTAGAGCTACAGAGCGAGCAGAGCCACCTAGCCCTGCAGTGGTACCTATGGGACGTCCTGGGAGTGTCTCCAGGCCGCAGTAAAAACACCAACCTGGTTCGCCTGGCTGCTGGGGTGGCACCGTGTGACATTCAGAGTCCCAGGTGGCTCTGTGGTGCTGCCAGCCACCCCGAGCTGCAGCAGAGCAAAAGAGCACGAACAAGGTAAAGGCTGGAGGTGGCAATTCACTGAGCTGTCTGCACCTGGCTTAGCAGCACTAAAAGAAACAACAAATGGACTCTGAGGACTTTACATGTTGTTGCAGCAGGTATGGAGCATAAATCAGAAGCAGCAGTTATAATCCTCTAATCAGAAAGCTGTCTGCAGCTCTGCTCACTTTGTTTCAGGAAGGGCACTGCCAATACTGAAAAAGCACTCCAGACAGTGCAACACACAGCACAAGGTGTCTGGGAAAACCAGCAACTGCTTTGGACTTTCTAGACAAAAGACCTTGAGGATGTAAAGGAGAAGTAGAAAGGTGAGTATCAATCACTGAAAATACAGTGTCAACAGCAGACAGGAGAGGGGTATCAGAGCCACAATGCAGAAACTCCAGGGCAACTGTCCAAGTGCTCTGCTAAAAGGAAATCTGCAGCTTGTCTAAGGACACCAGCAAGAATCCACCACGATCTTCACTGCACAGGCAGGCCTGCACTGAGCACARCGGAGTGCTTTCTCAGATCACTGAGGGTTTTGCTAAGTGAACTTCTACATATGTCCTCACTAAAGACTTACTCCTTCCATGGGTCCTATCAGTAAGTCATAGAGCGCACGGAGCGGGGGCTTGGTGAAAGAAGTTTGCCTCCTTGGAAGAGAAGATGTCCCATCCTTAACAGGAGACATGGTACTGCTGAACAGACTGGTCATGCTCTGACAGCTCCTGTGAACAAAAGACAACTGAAAGGTTAGTTGCAGAAAGCTGGCAATCCACATCAGGTTGCCTCAAATTCATTCCGCTGACCCACCAGGCCACCCGAGGCCGAGGACACGCTCCATGGGGATGCTCCATGACACAGCTTTGTTATCCCACTGCTTCACGCTGCAGTGCCCAATGACACAGGTGGCAGAGTGAACCAGTTGTAGGCACTTCCATGGTGTTCCTCTGCAAAATGAAATGCCCCAGAGCGCTGCTCACATGTTTAATTACAAACTTGTGCGCAGGGATTGTGCACAGGCAAACGTGAGAGCCATCAGCAACTGACTACAATTGGAGGAAGCGCTGGGTGTTTTGCGCCAGCTAACGTGGCACGGAGCTGAGAGGGAAGAAGACAAGAGGCAAAGAGCAGGCTGTGAGGGTTGCATCTGTGCTGGCTGTCTGCTCCTGAATGGCCCCATGCAGTCAGGGCTGCTGCCCCTAAGCATCGTTCGAGTTGTGCACACAGGCTGAACTCCATCTCCAGCAGGAGAGCTGCTCTGCAATCCATTTTCCTGACAGCTTGCTCATTTCCTGCAACACTGTTTTGCTCCCGCTTTCCTGCTCCCCTGGGATATGGCAATACCAGCCAGGGTTTCCTATGCTCGCTATCAAGCCATCTCCAGCTGCTCTTTTACAATGCGCATGGCCAAAATTCAATCACAAACCGGGCTGCCTCCAAGCACTGCCCAAGTACCATGTTGCAGTTCCCTTCCCCTATACCCCAGCAGGACTGGTTTTGTTTGCTGATGATCCCTTCTCCATGCAAGTGGCAGAGGGGACAATTCTGGGTTAATCTGCACAGGCAAAATTCCTCACACACTCTCCTGGCACCAGGCACCCACACTGGTATCTGAAGAGGCTGAGATGGCATGTGCACAAAGCACTGAGGATATGGCATTGCCCATGCTGGTCTCTCTATTCCAACAATCTGTGCTCYCCAGAATAGTCATCTTGGGCTTGAGGCCAGGAACAACCATTTTATGTGAAAAGGATACATTTTCATAAAATTGCAGCAGGTGAGCCATAAAAAAAGGGCAGTGGGGATCATAGTCATTGGACAGTAATGGTAGAGCAAGCTCTGAAGTGTGAGCATAAAAGATCTTGTGCATAAAAGACCACCTAAAAAGGAGGAGATGCCTCGTTGTCCTCCAAGCGCTGCAAGCAGTCGGTGGATGGTTCCCTATAATCCCAATCCCAATCATGTCCCGCACCCACCGCTGCCCGCGGAGCGGGACCGGGCGCACCCACAGCCCGGGACAGGGACAAGAGCCTGGCCAGGCCAGCAGGTGGCAGCCGCCAGCCTCGCTCAACCAAGTCATCTCATCAGACTAATTTATGGCAGGGGAGAGGGGCTTGATTGTTCTAATCAGCAAAGCCTCCTGCATCTTGGCTTTGCAGCCAAGCAGCTCTAGATTTATCCCTTCACCATTCAGATTGGTTTTTATTAGAACAAAACCAAAGAGGCATCATAAATCTTTCACCCTCCTTGCCAGGGTGCCTGTACACACATGGAAGAGCGCAGAAATCCTCCAGGGGAGGCTGGGTCTTTTGTAGAAAACCCAGCAGCAGCGGAGCCTGGGCCAGCTCGCACCTTCCCTGCCAAGGCAGGGCAGGCTCAGACTCTCCAGGCCGGCTACCTGCGCCCAAGTGCCTTCAATGCAAGAGGCTCTTCCGAATCTTTGGGCCAGGTGCCTTTGACAAGGTGCTGCTGCTGGCGGCCGAACCCCTCTGGAGACTCTGTGGCCCTGCAGCCCCAGAACATGACACCCACCAGAGTTGCCCTTCTCCAAGCCTTCTTCAGAAGGCCTTCCCCACTGAAACAGGCAGGACCTTCAYGCACAACAGTCGGCTGCAGGAAGCTCCAGAAAACTTGCAAACGCATTCCCTGTGGCTCCCTGCAAACATCCACAGCCATCTCCCAAACCACTGCTGGTTGCAAAACACCCACAGACCACCCACACACTCCGTCTGTGTGGCCTGCACCCTGCACTRGGCAGAACCAGGCACAGAGGAGGCTCTTCAGCCACTGCCTCCCCCTCTGCCAGCCTGCACCCTTGCTGCTCTGAGCCCTCTGCTCCGGGGGTCGGCTGTGTGGTTCTCCAGACCAAGTATCCGATCAGCCCTACCTGGGCCTGCACACCCCCCACCAAGAGCTCCACTGAAGCTCATTCTGACCCCGCTGGCAGCTTCCGTGCTGGGCTCCTCACTCCCTACCGACTGGGGAGCCACCAGCCTCTGCTGCACCCCCACAAAAGCACAAGCAACAGGGCCAAAATCAACACAAAGGCAGGGCCCACATCAAGAGAGGGGGAATATGCTCACAAATCGCATCGGTCACCAGGATGAAACCCTGAGCACAAGCAGATCAAGATGTATCTGCACGGTGGCTCTCTCTATAGAGCCTGTGATCTTGTCAGGGCCCCAAACTTGCTTTGGAAATCTCTAGCTGTGTGTGGAATAGAGCATGGACTGTTTCTTTCACAATCTGAATCAGCTGGAGAAAAAAAAGCTCTTTGCAGTCGTAAGATGGGCTGGGAAATAGCCATGTCCCTGGCAGAAGTGAATTCACACCTGAAGTTATGCTGCTCCTCTCATTCATCTTTCACCAACTCTCAATATGCTGCACTGCAAAAACTCCCCTCTGGGAAATGCACGTTGCCTCTGGGCAGGGGCAGGGCTGGCACCCATGCTTTCTGCAGGTACAGGGAAGAAGGATGAACTGGGTTCCCACAATTGTGGAAAGGCCAAGGTAAAGGCTGGGGAGATAAATCTAGAGGGTGGTAGTGACCAGCTTCGCCACCGAGCGGGAGACAAGCTACATCAGTGGCATCCACAGCTTAGACAGCTACTGGCCAGTTGTGAGATCAGACAGCCAGGACTCCTTCAGCGCTCCTTTCTCCTGCAAGGTCCCTTCCTTCCCACAGGTTCCTTAAGGTTACTATCAGACCCATTTTTACTTTTCTAAGTTGAGATACACAACAAACAAAACATTCTTCTCTGTTTAGAAGCCAGATTCATCAATTTACCTAATGACAGCAACCAGAGGGGCACTCAGCCAGACCAGGGGCTTCCTTGCAGTTATCCACCTCTCACCAGACATGGAAACTGAATGGCTCCAAACAGTCCCAGCATCTCTGAAGACTCATTTTCTCACATGGGACCCTAACAGCATGCACAAACCCTGTGCGTGAAGGAACTTGCACTGGCCCCACGCCATGCACACTCCCTTGAGGAACGCCAACATTCAATCACAAGATGTGAACGCTGCATTCAGGCCCCACAGGAGGAAAGCAAGTCTTGCTTTGGCAGCAGGGAAAGCAAACGCTGATTCTCATCTCTAAGCAGGCCCTGCTCCTCCTTGTCCCCCCGCAGTGCAGAAACCAAAGCAGAGGCTGTACCCTCAGTCACCGCCTTCTAACCTCTAAAGCACTGCAGCTCCAATAACCACACACAGCACTTACATACAGCTACATAAACTGATCCCGGCCAATGTACTGAAATGAGATGGAGGCTGGAGCTCTCAGATTACACCTTGTACTCTAACTGTTCAATTCTGTCATTTCGTAAAATTTGAGAGCTCTCAGTCCCTTGTTAGAGCTGTAGGGCAGCAGAGAAAAACGCTGCCAGCTTCTGTTTCCCTTCTTAATCAGAGCAGATTCCATGCTGACCTTCACTGGCTTCTTAGCTGCAGGACTACTGCAAGAAMGTCTCCTTGTTGCCCCAAGTGCGATGTACCACACGCCATGACCAGCATCGTTCTCACCACAGCTGAGCTGGAAAGAACCACACAGTAGACAAATACTATTGATACTTTCTATAGTGCCATCCCAGACTCTGCAATCTCTATTCTCATAATTCATGGGATAGAAGACAACCTCTGTACAGTAGGCACTCGAATGCCTTGAATTCAGGGCTTAGCTAGCTGGAGATGGCAGCAGTAGCTCTGCCACTAAAACCCCCAGATTTCCCTGCCTGCAGGCAAAACCACACAGAAGTGTTTTGCTGTTCTCTTGATGTCGGTGTGTATCATGACAACATAAAATTTCTGGCTGCTTCTTGATGCTCTTGTGAAGGTGCTTTGGATAAAGCACTTTAGTTTCTCCATGCCTGGGCTTCTCCAAACAGCTGCAGGCTATTTTCCTGACAAGGCTCCCGAGGAGAGCTCCTTGATATGGCTTTAACGCCACGCATTTGCTCCCATGGAGCAGAAACACATGCAGATGCTGCATAGCTGGCTTCTGCAGCATTCCTAGGGATTGGCACTTACTGGAGCAGAATCAGAGCTTATTCCACTCCTGGTAATTAGAAGGGGGATTCTCCTGCTAATTCTCTGACCCTGATAAACTAGTAAAATGTCTCAGCAATCCTGGGGGAGTGCCTTTTGACTTCAAAGTAGCAAATATTTATAGTCCATGATCACTGCAGCGCTTGAATAGATATGAACATGGATTCTGGAAAGAAAAATAGGGCAGTTGTTAATGCCGGCAGGCAATTCCCAGCTTCAAGGGGATACTGCTGTCACAGCTCAGCAGCTTCAGTGAGCGCTCACAGTTCTGCAGCCTGACCCAGTTCTCTTCCCAGCTGAGGAAGACCTGGTGTACCCTGTGCGCAGAATCCTTGCTGGGCTACAGACTCAGCCAGAAACCCAGCACCACTTCCTTCAGCATCCCAGGGTCTCCACCCATGAGGGGAGCGACAACCCTGGGACAACCCTGTGTCCAATTTTCACTTCTAATTCTTGCTTTAATCAGCATAGCGACATGACAGACTGAACTCTGAGCAAGTTCTATAGAGGCAGAAAGGAAGTGGAAACTGGTCAGCTAGGCAAAGCACTGGACCTTTGAAAATGCAGCATGTTCTCTGATAGCTATTTCAGTTAAAATCAATGGGAAGCAAACACTTCCACACAACATCAGGAGCAGAAAGCCCCAAGCTCTGCACCTCGCCGACAACAGGGAGAGAGATCCTCACCAACTGTTCAGTCAGTCAAAAATTGAGCTTGTCCAGCAGAAGACGACATCAGAAACGCCCACCCTTGAGTAGTTATCACTTGCTAATAAGTCCTTGCTTGCTCACCTTAGGCTACCGGGTCTTGCCTGGAAAAGCATTCAGACACCATTCCAAGATCTCACAATTTGACTTGAACTGCTAATTTCCTGAGTGAAATAAACAATCTCTGTAACCATGAAGAACAATGTCACTTTGCTGCTCTGTCCTCTAGCAATACTGTAAAAAAGAGACCCCCAGTCAGGACACCAGCTGCGTCTGAGGCCCTTTTACAGTTTAAAGCAAAATCTGTCACAGAGTTGTCTCTCCGCCTGCTTGCTGATGCCCACGGTGCAGCACTGCATTCTCACCTGTTCAAGAGGTTGTTCCTGCTCACCATCCTCAGGAAGCCAGTTGGATCAGTCATCGAGTTCAGCTTGTTATTCATCTCCTCAAACTGTTGGTCCATGATATCCCCAGCTTCGCTCTCAGTTTCACTGCTGGCACAGGCTCTAGAGAGAAAACAGCAGAGACATCACTGATGCATGACACTTCTGTTAGGCATGGCTACTAATGAATAACCACCTCGTCTGCTTCTCTTGCTGCAGACATTCACAGATCCAGCCCTCAAGGGTTCAAAACACAATGCATACTAATGGAATTTTTTAAGTTCTCCATCTCCTGACTTTAATATCTAAACTAACATCTGGGTGCAGATTTTCTAACCAATTGCCAGAGTAGTATTTTGTTTTCTTTTTAAACGGAGAAGGCAAACACAACTACTGTTTGTGCATTTCAACAATTCCTCCTTTTAACTTAATAAATAATTTGCATGGCATATGGTGCATCACAAACCTTGGAATTTACACAAGCTAAATCTGCCCCACAGCTCTCTTGTTTCCTTTTGCTGGGTTCCCAACACCTTTCCTCAAGGGCACATTTTCCAATAACATGTACATGAATCCCATTAAGACACAACATGCACTCTCGCAGGCAACTACAGCTGTGTCTGTATTGCTGTATGGACCACAGTGTGTATTGTAAACACATTTCCGGGTCAATGTAATTTAACTACATATAAGGGCAAGTCCCGACATAAACCAACCGCTCCTTGGACACTGAAGAGGGGAGTGAGCTGAATCACATAAGAGTTGCAGGATTGTCCGCAGTTGCCTCCTGCATGTTTTTCTTCCAGCAGTGGAGAAGCTGCTCACTCCTGAGCCCTGGCACAGTTTTGCTCATTGCTCACTATGTATCTGGCAATCCCTAAAGAGGCAAAAATTCTGAGTTCGTGTTTCGGAGTGCAGGTCACATGGGCTTCCCAATTCATCTCAGCACAAGCTGGAGCAGATTTTCATACTCTGCTTTTGGCAAGTACATGCATTTGCAGACTGAATTAGCCCAGCTGAAAGGAACTGTTTCCAGAACAGAGCAAAGGCTGCCGCCGAAAATGTAATGCCTCTTAATGCCAGCAAAATCCTGATGAAGGTGGCCACGGCAACACTCCTCTTCCCAGCAGCAGGCATGGGAGGAGGCGCCAGCTTGAAGGGGGCAGCAGCACCTACAATCATGATGCACCTTTACAGGGAGCAAGGACACCTAAGTGCCAGCACAAAGGCACACGAGCAAGCCAAGACCTGGGGAGCCAAGCAGGAGCCCTCACATTTGTGCTCACATTCCTAACTTCCTCTGTGCTTTGCTGGAGGAGCTGAGAACAGCTCCTGGGTTGCACAGTGCAGCTTCTCCTGGGGCCTTGGGAGCTCGAGTATGGTGGAGGATGGCAATGCTGGTGACACACAGTGCCAGAGCTTCAAAGCAGAACACGACATTCATCCATATGGCGTGAACAAGACTTTTTTCAATTCTCTGCACACAGTTTTGAAGTGGTAAAGAGCTTTGCCTGTGAAGATACCAGGTCAGCCCAGCAATCTCACAGACAAGCACTAAGCCCTGACTCTTTAACCGGGAACATACCACTACCATTACCACAAACTGAAGAGGAAGCTGACATCATAGGAAGTGGAAAACTCATCCCAGAGCTTCAGGTTTGAAGGACTGTCTATGCCACAAACAAAATCTGTGATGACAAATGGTGAACAGAAAAGACTATCTGTAAATCGGCTACACAGAGAACTGCAGATTTCAGCTGGGTATATCTCTATCTTGAGGGTGAGATTCAACATCCAGAGAGAGATGTAAACACGCAACCCTGTAGCCATAAGAAAAGGGCAGATGGAACCAATTCAGCCTTTTTTCCTCTCTCGTCAGGAGGGGGAACTCTACAGCTCCACAAAGAACTGAGAGCTTATGGTCCATGTGCACACACGTGGGCGGGCTGAAGGTACCATTGTAACTCCTCTGCTGAACCCAGGAACACTGAGGCTGGGAGGAGACTCAAGCACATGAGGTTTGTTTTAGCGAGACCTGCTGCATCCCTGAATCCTCCTCCCCAGGAGGGCTACAGCTTCCCTCCACCGTGGCAATACCGGATGCTCAGTGACCTTTCGAAGGATGGTCCAGAGACCAAAGTCAGACACAGACAAAACAATTCAGGGGAGAGACTCAAGCACCATCTTCACCATCACTTTTCAGATTAGAATTGTGGATTTTTTCCAGTTGTTCTGTATCTTGCATTATTACTTACAGATAATTGGAGTTACAGTTGCAGATATGTTCATGCACTACAATTAATTGGGTAAATCCCTGTGCAGCTACCCAAGTGGAGCAAAACCTTCAGGACAGGAATTAAATCCTGATTCCAAGTCTTCCACTACATCCTAGCCGCAGAGCTCCGTAAGCCACAGCGATTGCTCTGACATGACCTCCTTCTTTGCAGACCAGCGCACTGGAGCAGAGAAAATGGCTCAGATCATTTTCCTCCTAGATACACACAGTCCATCTCAACCCAGATCTCCTCTCTCCTCTCTTGTAGCAGTTAACCTCTCTCTCGTGCCTCGGTGACTCAAACAGTGTTTACTTTGCGTGTCCTCTCTTGGGGCATGGTTTACTTTCCTCCTCCTTTGCAATCTGGCCAAGTATGGCCACCAATCTGCTTGTGAAATGCCATGGATTACACCGGCTGGGTTCTAGTGCTCTGAACCAGCACCTCCAAGACTTTGATCTTTCTTCAGTCTGTGACTGCATGAAGCCACTTGGACTGTACTGCTTGTCTAGCTCTTACAAGATTAAGTTAGTAATGCTACTGTTAACAAGTAGGAATCCAGGAATCCACAAATCATTTTGTTAGTGGTAGTCTGGCTTTCGAGGGCAGATGTCCACCAAGAGGTGGACAGGAGCAGCCTGTGCTCCCCTGGTAGCTGACATGGCTGCCCCCCTGCCGAGCAGGACCCRGGGCAGGGGCAGGAAGGACATGAGTCCGTCCCATGTTGTGGCGTCCCGCGCAGGCTCCTCCCAGACGTGCACGAGGTGCCTGGTCCTGCCCCTGTGCCCGGGTCAGGAGGTGGTCTGCAAACACAGACCGGCACTGGGATATTCATTCCAGGCAGAGATCGCATAAAAACATAGTCCACACACACACGGTGCCCTCACACATGCATCTCCTGGCAGCCTTCACAAGTCTGGCCCTTTTCTCTGCTGTGGAACAGGTACGCACTAGGTGTAGCTTATCTCTAGTTCCTAAAGAAAGGTGCACGTGTCACCACAACTTGACTTTGTCTCGCCTTGCAAACCTTTCAGGACATGTTCGCATCCCATCACAGACCGACAGTCTTTAACTCACTTTAGAATCACTGGAAACAAGGAAAGCCATCTCCTGGTCCCAAGCCCAGCATCTCTGATGGTTTCCAGCTTCCTTCCAGCAGCCTGAGGTTCCAGGCAGGAAAAAGGTCACCTTCCTGGCGGGCATGAGTACCCACAGCCTTCTCAGAGCTGCCTGAAACCAATTTCATTACTCGCCAGTGCTGGGGACATAATATAACCAAGTGTCATGTTTCCTCTGACCCCAAGGAGGGAATTAATTTCTCTTTAAGAAACAGGAGCAAGTCCTGGAGAAAACTGGGAAACTTGATAATGTTCCACTTGGCCAAAACATCTTACGGGTACTGCAGGACGAGGCTCATGCTCTTATTTCAACCCAATGAAAAATTCTAATCCTGTCAGACCGAGCAGCTACCGCAGAGGATGAACAGGGATTTATTAGCGGAGCTGCAGCCACTCCACCACTGCCCAGGAACCCTGAGCACAAATCAATCCTGTGATCAATGCCACCATCTCCTCTTCCTTGGCCAAAATCATTGCRTGTTCCTGTGCACAGCTCCCAATGCCCCTTGGGAGGCTGTGCGTAGCTGAGGAGGACAGAGCCAAGTGATGAGGATGCACTGAGGACGTGCAGGGTGCACTGGGTGCTTCTGCATCATGGCTGGACGAGGATGTCCTCAACATCCACAGCCTCCGGGACTCAAGAACAAACTGCTCACAAATCTTAGGGTTGTAGGAAAAAGAGCTAAATACAAAATATCTTAAAAAAGACTAAAACATGATAAACTTAAAAAGCCAGTGCCTCCATTCACATCACTTTTGGGAGTGGTTAACACCTCAGCCAATACATATCTATAGTCTCCCGCACATTAGTAGTAAATTAGACCTGCAAACCACCAGTGTGTTACTAACTCGCTCAAATACAGCAATTCATGACTATGCAGTAATTTTAACAAGCTAAATTGCACCATATCCTTTGCATTGTGCGATTCATGCACAAAGAATGTACAAGGATGGGGACATCTCTGCTCTGTTTTCCAGAATGAAACATTTAGAGAAAAGGTACAATTTGCAAATACCAGCATAGGAAGAATGCAAGTATTCAACCAATCAGTAAATTGAAACAAATACCACAACAGATCAAAACCACGAGCAAGGCCTAAATTTGGCTGTTCATGATAAACATACAGGATTAAAAAAAGATAATCATGGGACCCATCTGAATAATGAATTGGAGTAAATCTCCTACCTGTTTGTGGAAATTCACTGGATGGATTAATTTTCTGTGAATTGTTTACTCAGCTTTAGCCATGCGGGAGTATTTGGAGGGGGTGAAGCGGGGGAGGAAAACCCCATGGTATTTGCAGTGCCTTACGACTAAACCTTTGAAGGAGAATTAATTACACTAGTATATATAAGCATCTGTCCATATATACAAAATTGGTCTCATTTTCCAATCTCTGGGTACATTACCCAGTCTATGGGTTCAAGCCTTGTTTGCACATGCACATATGATTGTCAGAAAAAAATAGCCATGGATACAAAAATAAAGCAATTTTGTTGTCACCGAATAGAAAATGTGCCCTCCTCTGCCTCGTGCTTTCCAACTTCGCTACCGCCGGCTCATGTCCACGTGAAGCACGGGTCCCTTACCGGGTGTAGTAGGACTCCACGCCCAGCGCCTCCCGCACGCTGGAGATGTAGAGCTCCAGCGCCGAGCTTGTCGCCGTCTGCAGCGCTGTGCTGCTGCCCTCCGGGAAGTCCCCCGCGCTCTCCACCAGCCCGTCGCCCAGGTAGCACTCGTGAAACTTGAGGATTCCTGCAAGGCACCGGAGCACGGGGTTACAGCCTCTGCGAACGGGGATGCCAAGGGGTACAGGCCCCACACGCGGCATCCCTGGCACACGGGGACAAAGCACCGTGACCCCGAGGGGCTTCACAGCCTTCTGTACCATGGCCCAGCCTTTAAAGTCTGTTTTTGTACTTTGCAGATGATGGCCCAAAGGTACAAAGGCTGAGCACTACTTTTATGAGACACTGGGAAGGCACTTGCTATTGCAGCAGGTTTATATAAATTATAATGCAGATGTTTCTTACAAGCATCTACCATGGTAACACAAATTTCTATAGCTGCACATGAAAAAATTTTTATAAATATTCTCTGATCATTTAAATTGCACAAGGTTCAGATGTTGAACAAAAATGTTATTACTGCAGCAGAACCTCCTCACGTCACACAAAGATTTCATTTTACCCATATGCACAAAAATGCATTACATACAAAGAAAGAAAAGGGTAGATTAATGCATATTAAAATATTAAAAGTTAGCATTTCACAACAGGCAAACCAGATAAAGGGTGGCTGCTATTCTGGCAAGAATTCAACTATTACTGCAGGTAAAACCTTCCTCCACTCAAGACTGACATATCCCTCCTGATACAATTAGTCCTACAGGACCACTGCTTGTGATCTACAAGGCTGCTCTAGATGCCCTGCTTGCATTGACTACATAAATTATTAAAGCTATTAACAAGAGCGGGGGAATAAAGAATAAAGAAACTCATTTTGCAGCAAGATCAGCTATTACAGTGAATTGTACCCCAGCTAACAGGCTCTGAAGGAACTGTCTTGGGGGATAAGGAAGATCCTAGGCTACCATTGAAGCTACTCTCTCCATCTGCATCAAGGAAACGGAGAAGAAATCAAGAAAGCTGTTTATGAAGTCAGGTGGCATATCATTTATTTCTCATCAATTTAATTTTACTTCAAGGAATTTGACCTCAAAACTACAGAACTCCTAGCATTTCATAGTGCAAACTGTAGACTAAAGAGCCATTTAATGCCTGGATGTATGGCATGGTGATACCGTCTTATCTTTATATATGCAATATTGAAAAACACCCCAAAAACCTCACATCTTCCAGTGACTCATCCCATATGAAACCAGGCATTTATGAATCTTGCTTCCCTTCTCAAAGTATTTTTGATGCAATCTAAATTAGAGCTTTTTATCTCTTTAGCTTTGTCACCGCAAAGTGTTACAATTATTAAATTATATCCAGAAAGAACTCATAAGAATTTACAGTCATCACTTTATTAGAAAATGAACAACATCTGCCTGCAAAAAGCAATCCTCTTCAAATTAATCCTCCTTGCTCCTTTGTGATAAGTGTTTCCACATCCACTCAGGGAGAATTCAGAGGATCAGACAGTTCAATGGCATATCAGGATGTGGGGATGCCCTTCTGTTCTCTGGAATCCACTTCAGTGAATAAATGTCAAAAGCTTTTGAACAGAAATGTAATTAAGGTAGGGATTCTTATGCATAGAAGATTCTCACAGAGAGAGCATACTTGAAATCTCATTACTGCTCTGCACTGCCCTGTGGGAAATGCACAGAGTGGCAGTTGAAAGATAGAAATATTAAACACCTGGAACATTTCCATCTCCAGGTAACTTCTGCACTTCTATCTGAATACTTCCAGGCTATACCACAGTGCAAGGCTCCAACTCCAAGGAACAGGACATATTCAACCCAAAGGAATCCCTCCCACGTTTGTTCTGGTCCCAGATTTATTCCTAGCTACAGGATTCCCCTTTGTACAGCTTGCTCACAGACTCTCCCAGACCTTAGAAAAGACCTCACCTGCCCCAGGAGCCAGCAGCCAGCTGTAGAGATAACCTGCAGCCAGCGAGTAGTAGAGAACAAGTCCCCTCTGGCTGTTCACAGTCTCCAGGACCTGGTCAATGGTCACTGGAGAATAGGGATCAGAGTCCTGCTGTCCTGTCTGGCGTTCCACAAGCAGATCAGCAAAGGCCCTCGTTCGTCCTCTCTCGGCCACAGCCAAGGCTTCATCGTGGTGACCTGGAAGAAAGAACTGCACTTCAGCAGACAAGGCTCGCTCTCAGCCCCCATGTGGTCTGCAGCTCTTATCCCAACCCATACTAAAGCAGGGTAACTATGCTTATTTCTGGAAACAGCATTCCCTGCACTGGAAGACTATCCCATACGTCACCTGGGCTGCAAGCACTCACATGATCAATAGGAAATTCACTCACAGAAAGGAAGATCAATGGAAAAGGAAGCAAAAAATCCCTGTAGTCCAAAGCAGGAGATCCCTATTCCCATTTTGATAAAAAAAATCCCGCCCAGGGCTGGCAGGGAGTTAAGGGTGTACCATGAGCTGCATCAACCTCTGCATCTCAAAGTCTGTGTCCTGTGGCATTGCTTACCAAGGCTGACGAGCACCCGCTGCAGGGCCTGGTAGGAGGATGTCTGCAGGTCGAAGAGCGACAGCTTGTAGTCTGTGCTCAGCTGCACCTCGTGTCGGATCGTTTCGAACAGTGCCGAGGCCCGGTAAAGCTGGGAGGAGGAAAGAGCCGTGGTGACGCTTAGCATTACAGACCTGGCACGCAGCACCGGCCGCACCACAGCCTACCTGGTGCTGGGACTCCTCCAGGTTCCCACTCGCCCAGAGGGAGAGGCCCAGGCCATGGCGGATTTTGGCTTCGTCTTCTCTGCGACCCAACTGCTCTGCCAGCCTCAGTCCTGAAAAGGAATCAGAGCAAATGAGAGCCAAAGGAAATATTGTGGCTTCTGCACCAGCGCGAGGGCACTTCTGCCTTGGCCTGGCTGGGCACCAGACCACAGGGCAGCCTCGAGGGCCTCTAGGGCCTTGGTCCAAGGCAGCTATAGTCGCCGCGACGCGGTACGCCGGGACGCTGGCAGGGGCTGCCCAGAGAGGTTGTGGAGTCTCCTTCTCTGGAAAACTTGCGTGCCTGCGACCAGGTGCCCCTGCTGGACTAGATCTCAAGAGGTCCCTGCCAACCTCAACTATTCTGTGATTCTGTGTCCTCCAACACATGAATCCTATCAACATCACAGGGGCCTACAGAGGCAAGACAGCACTGGGAATGTGGGAGCATGGATCTAGTCCTGCTCCAAGGCAGGTTAAGAGGCAGTCCCCTCAAACACAAGGCCCAGCCGGGAAGCTTTGCTTTCACATCTTAAATGCCCTTCAGTCAAAATCACACTAAGCTACAAAAGCTGTGAGAAAAAGGACCTCTTGGACCTCTTGCCACATGATTTTTTCTTGTTTCTCCCCAGCTGCCCTGGCAGCCCCTGCACAGTCTATTTACTGTGCCAGAGCAGAGGGCCAGGTGCTGGCGTGAGCTACCCAGGGTCTCACTTCACCTCCTGCAGTTTCCTCTGTGTTGTCCTCCATCCCACCAGGCGCCAGAGCTCCCACCCTGCAGGCCTCCTAATCCCTGCGGGTCTTACACCGGTGCGGAAAGGGAGGCCCTGGCCATGCCTGCAAAGTCAGGCAGCAGTCAACATCCACAGATTGCTTTCAAGGATCTAACATCGCATTGCAGAAGGAGCTGTGCTTCATTTCTGCCCCTCCAACTTAATTGAGCTTCCTAAGCATGCTGGAATCCTGCCAAGGTCAGTTTGAGGAAATCCTGACTAACTGACGTAATTAATCTTGCAGCTTCCAGTTTCATATACTGAAGCTACATTGCCCATCCCCATCAGAGAGCCGCCGCTTTGAGCAGATGCTGCTTCATGCTGAACTCCAGCTGCAGCAGTGGCCGAGGGTTGGTCCTGGGTAGGTGCTCAGCAGCGGGCAGATGGCTTCCAGATGCTCAGGACTGTGCCTATGTCACCTATTGTCCCACCTATTCCCCTGTATCTATCATATGAAACAGGGAATTCAGCCTCCTACCTTCTTGCAGATACATGACAGCCTGAGAGTAGTTTTGCAAGGCATGGTGAGTCCTTCCCAAGCTGCTGTAAGACACAGTTTTGGCTACAAGGTCGTTCATCTGCGCAGCAATGCTGAGATGTTGTTCCTGATAGACAACTGCTCTCTCATATGTGCCCAGGGACTCATAGGTCAGACCCAGGTTCCCGTAGGCCCGGCCCTGGCACGTGGGGTTGTTGGTCTCCTCTGCAATCTGCAGGTCCAGCTGGTGGTACTGCAGAGCTGTGTCATACTCTCCCATCTGCTGGTAGACGCCACCGAGGCCACAGGCAGCGTCGCTCTCCAGAGCTCGGTCCTTCATCTCCCGCGCGATGTTCAGCTGCCGCTCCAGGCATGAAATGGCTTGCTCGTAGTTGCCCAGCTGGCTGTGCAGGCTGCCCAGCTCCCCATAGGCCTGCGCTTTGTTAAAGGCCTCCCCCAGTTCATGTGCCACCACAAGTCGCTTCTCAAAGCACACCAGAGCCTGCTGCAAGCTCCCCATAGCCCTACAGGGAAAGAAAACAGCAGCACTTATCACTCCCTCCTTGAAACAAAATATTTTGACACTTCCTCCAGAGACTTCATCTCCACCATCAGCTCCAATCTTTCAGGTACAGACAAATGTTCCCCCAAGGACTCATCCCCAGCACCTTTGAATCTGCATCCTTCCTCTGCTACCTTACAAATTCCCTGCTGAAAGGACAGAACCATGTCAGCTTCCCTACTTGAGACAGTAGCACAGACCAGGTCACTTGCCAGCATCTGCTGTTCAGTTTTATATCTCTATGCAGGTGTCAAATCGTCACACTAGGGCATCCCATCAACAGCATGGTGCATTCTCCTGTCCTTATACTAGGCACCAACTTGTCCCACTCTGGTGATTAATGACATAGATGAGTCTGCCCTCCTCTGCTTGGCCCAATCTCTACCACGCATCTGTGCAGCCCCCCCGAGCTGCTCGAGTTCCCCTTTCCATATACATGCTTCATCCCTACAACCCACACCTCCCACTCCACCCCATCCCTGTGCACCTTTGTGCGCATCCACATGCTCCCTTCCTTCAAGTGCTCCTGCCTCATGCACTCGTTACCTGTGTCCATTGCCCAGGCCCCGGTATGCCTTTGCCTGATCTTGCGTACGGTTCAGACTTTGAGCCACAGACAGGTACTGTTCATAATACTTTATAGCTTCCTCAAAGTCTCCCAGAGCTTCGTAACAGTCTCCCAGATTCCCGTAGGCTCGGCCTCGGTCCAACACAGATTCGTTTCCACTGAGCTGCTGCAGCATGGCCAGCTGCTGTTCAAAGTAGCCAATAGCTTCCTCCATGACGTTCATGTTCATCTTGGTAATGCCCATGTTACCGTAGACTTGGGCTTCTATGCTAGGGTCCTTCAGCTTCTGCCCAAGCTCCAACTGTTCTTCGTAGCACTTGAAAGCCATGGTGTACTTTCCAAGCGACATATACACTGCAGCAAGGTGGCCATGTGCTCTGCATTCCCCCGGCATTTCCCCCAGCTCCTGGTACACCTCTAGTTCTTGTGTATGGTAGCCTAAAGCCTTGTCACACTTCTGTATCATCCTGTATGCACAGCCCAAGGCTGCATAGGCACTGGCTTCCAGTCTCCTGTCTTTAACATGATGGGCTAAGCTCAACTGTTGTTCATAAAATTTTATTGCACCATTTACATCTTTCTTACAGACAAAAATATCCCCCAAGTTTCCCAGAGCTCGAAATTTAGCCTGGGAATTGTTCAGAGCCTGAGCCAGTGAGAGTAGATACTTCTGACACTCCTCTGCTTTGCTGAAGTCCATCAAGGCTTTGAAGGCCAAACCAAGGTTGCAATATGCTTTGGCTTGGCTCAGCTTGTCATGAAGATCCTTTGCTAAGGCAAGATCCTGCTCATAGTACTTTACAGCTTCTTCATAGTTCCCAAGGCAGTAATGGGCATAGCCAAGGTTATGGCAAACCTTTCCCTCCCCTTCCATGTCCTGCAGCTCCTGGGACAAGCGCAGGTACTGCTCGTAGTAAGGGGCAGCCTGCACAAATTCGCCTCGAGAGCAGTGGAAGTTGCCCAAGTTGCTGAGGGCCCGTGCTTCGCTCTGGATGTCTCGCAGCTCTCGGGCGATATTGAGGTGATTTTGGTAGTGCTGCAGAGCACGGTCATGAGCACCTAGTGCTTGATAGGCAACTGCCAAGTTCCCATGCGTGGATGCCTGAGAGGCCCGGTCATTCACTTCCATAGAAATCTGCAGCTCCTGCCGATGGTACTTCACTGCCTGGTCATACATGCCCAGAGCGTTGTAGGCATTGCCCATGTTGCCATAGGCCCTGCCCTGGGCAGCGTAATCACTTAGCTCCTGAGCAATGGACAGATGTGTTTTATGCAGCCTCAGCGCAGTGTCATAGTCGCCTTTCATCTGGTGGATGATTCCTGGAGGAGAAAAGCAAAAAACCAGTTCAACTAAAGCCTTCCTCCACACAAGCCTTCCATAACCCCTGGCCACGCTAGGACTTCCCTGCACCCCAGTCCTTGGCATGCATGCTCCGACCCTTTCTCCGTACTCTCAACACTGGACACCCCCACCCGCTCCCCACAGCTCCCCGCAGATCACTGGCACCACTCATGCAGAACAGTATTTCTAAACGAAGGGGCTCCCAGCTCCAAACACACAAAGTGCAGGCAAGGTTTTATATTACGCCTGAAATACATGTTCACCACAGTCACCAGAGAGTTCGATCTTTCCATCTTACACAAATCTTTTTGAATTACGCTGTTTTTCTCTTCAGTGATAGCTGGTGACTCTAGGACTTTGCATTCAAACAGCAAGCACACCGTGCAGAAACACATTTATCTTTTGATTTCACTGAAATCTCCATGCTCCTGTTATGAGATATGGGAACAGCAGCTCTGAATCTGATTTCTGTACATGATGCAGTCTTTTGTTATCCTTTTTGACATATTCTCCATTACTAGAGTTTTCTCGTGGCAACAATCCTAACACAGTCAACCTCTTAAAGGAGGATTTATTCATAGCTGAGCTCTCCACAACCTCTAAGCCTGCAGTAACTGGAGACAGTTGATCATTACTGCACACAGGACTCACGATGAAGGTCAGCCATCAATTTGCCTAACTGCTTTACAATAGTTTGTGCTTTCTCCATTTTGCTCCTCGTACTATTCACATCTGCTTGTTTCCTGAACACCACTTCAAACTGAATGCCAGCATATGGAGACACATGGTATCTCTCAACTTCCGTGCACATACTACTACATTTTTCACCTACAGCGTGCAGGGAAGAGGCCAGCCATGGCTCCGGACTCCGAATTCTTTTATTTGGGACCATAGTCTCCATTCTCCAGCTCTATTAATAAAACCTAAAGAAAAACATCTAACATTCACTCCCAAGGTCTTTATCTATTGACAATTCAGACTAGGCAAGAGTGGTCCCTAGGGAAGTGTTCCAGAAAGGGGAAGAAAAGAGCCCTTCTTCCAAATCCCACAGCACAGCTGAGGATCCTGGATATCAGTAATATATCTGAGGTGCTGTGGCCCCAGTCATAGACCTCTGCCAATGTAGAGGTCTGTATGAAGCTCAGAAATACCTGGATCTTTGGAGACCTAGCCATACTCACTATGCTGGAAGAAGTGAAAGCAGTAATTAAAATAAACTAGACTGAGGTGTCTCAAAAGGCAAGTATCTTTCCCACTGGGCTGACAAAAATGAGAAAACAGACTGAATCACAGCAGTGATCAAAGCCCAAATGTGGCAGAACTCATAGTCCGCACAAAACGCTCTCATACAGCTGCAGCAGATCAGGACAGACAGGGAGCAGGTGATGGGAGATGCATCTGGCTGAGCACATCACTAAAAACATCTGCTTGCAGCACAGCCCTGAACTCCCACACACAGTCAATGCTGTGACTTGAGCACTAACGGGGCACCACACAGCACTATTTCCTGAAGATAACTTCAGGTTCTTCACTGCCCCTAAAAGAAAACAATTTCCATACATTCTCACTCCACAAGCAGCACAAGGAGAAGAGGTGGAGCTGGCTGCCCTCCCCAGGCACCAGTAGCCACAGTGAGCTGCGACAGGCACAGACTTCAGCCCCTCTTGTTCTGTGTTCATGAGCAAAAATGTGAAAACAGATGGCTCTCCAAGTACGGTTGGAACACGATGGCTGAAATTTGCTTCCCTGAAGCAATTTGGACCTCGCAGATTCATTTTTTAAATTCATGTAGGGTTGAAAACCCAAATTCCATTACGCAAGCATGAACACTCCGGCTACATTATCTGTATTTCTATCAAAGTGAGTTATTTGGAAACTCTACTTGCTTTCCTGCCACCACGATGCTTTGGGACAAGGCAATTTGGAAAACATGAGCAGAATGAAAAAGGACTGAAATAATGGACACTTGGCTGCTGATGCCAATTCTTTCCTCTTTCCCTGCACTGCAAATCGCAACCAAGCTACAGTTCCCAGCACAGGGGACTGGTTCCCCGGGCCCTTCCCTAGCTCCGGGCCAGCTCCTGTCCCAGCTCTGCCGTGGCCTGGAGGCTCTGGTTGATCATCCTCAGCCACCGGCCCTCCGGTGGATGTACTAATGCTTCCCTCAGGGATGGCAGCAGGGATGGAAATTGGCTCCATTGGTGACATGATCTTTTGTGCAGAGATCCAAGTGTGCTGGAAGCTGCCAAGGACACGGTGGGGATTTTCAACACTGCCTCTTCCACGCAGGAATGCGGATGCTCCAGGCTCAGCAAGATGAGGGTGCTGCAGAGTGGACTAWCAAGAGGGATGTGCCGACTTCTGCAAGGAACCAACTGCAATGCAGGTGGAAAGGACAGTCCCTAATCAGTTCTTGCTAAATGGATAGATCCTCCACAGAGACAAGACACGTAAACCTTCTCTGCCACGGCTGCTTTGCAGGATCAGTTGTGGGAAAGCAGCCCCACTGGCAGCAACAGTAAAGGGGATGACGAGAACAGAAAACAGGCTAAAAGTAAACATGTTTTTTCTGTCTGCTTAGACAAGCCCATTTTAGATGAGACACAGTGGTTCCTGGACATGAAAAACATGGTAATTAAATTTACCATCACTTAGGAAAGTATCTGATGTTGCCTCACATGGGAAATTATGAACGAAGAGTGAGAAGGCTGAGATCAGGACAAACTTCACCTCTTTACTGGCAGCTTTGGCACAATGAAGTGCCTGCTGCACTGAGATCTGCTGGTGAGAGAGGCCAGGAAGCACAACCAGCAGAGGAGGGTTGGGGCGTTACGCAGGAAGGACAGGACCAACCCTATGAGCAAGAGAAGAAAGAACAGAGTGATGGAATTCAACACTAAAATGCAAAACATGCACTGTTACATTAATAACAAGAATTCCTACTAGTAGATGATGGTAGAGCATCACCATCTAGAAACAAGAACAGAAGGACCTGTTAATTCGTGTGTTCTAGAACAAGCACAGAGGAGCAGGTACCTTAGAAAAGGTTGCTGGAACTTGGTTAGTTGCAAGCTGTGGTACTGGTGTTATAATACGGCATGCAGGATAGCAGCGCTGGTCCAGCGCCCCAGGAGACTCCTTTCCCATGCTCCTGGATAACTCGGACTCCTCTGGGTCCCCTGTGATGGGCATCCTTTTCCCAGCTACAAAGTTCAACATCCTATTTCTCCATTTCAGCCCCCTCACCTCGCCTGGACCACATCTCAGGCAGCATTTGGGGATACTACTCTTAACTGGGCAAACACTTCCAGCTGGCTGGACGGCAGAGGAAAAATCCTCATCATCCCAGGTCACTTCGGAGGCAGGACGCCCCAGCTGGCCCCGCTCGAGCACCCCAAGAGCCTCCATTTCACTGCGACAAGCAAGAAGTGTCACGCACAAGCCTGGTCAGGCACATTCCCAGAACTCTGTCTGAGAAATCAAGGTTGCTCTTGGAGCAAAAAGGAAAACAAAACAAAAAGCTGGCAGAGACCCTGTACAGCCAGAGGGACTACGAAGAACAGCCCAGGCAGGGGACAGGCTCTCACGCAGACCCCAATATCGTCACCCAGCAAACACATCCTCTCTGTGCATGTTCCTGACAGACAGAATGAGGCTCACACATGGAGGGGAAACGACATTTTCACAGCTCTGAATGTTGCAGTCAGCCTCTCAGCTACCAAGAATGGAGAAAAACAAAGAACAAATATTTAAAATATTAAGCAGAAAACAGCCAGGACAAAGCCAGGAGAGTGGCACAGGAGCAAAGCTGTGCTCCCCTTGCCCCGGGCTGCTCTTGCACCAGCTGCTAGAGCTGCCGCTCATCTGTGCCAGTCACAAGGCAGGGAGGACCCGGAAATGAGCGTCACTTCCAAACAGCAGCGCGGGCCATTCCGACGGCTATGACCAGGTGCCAGGGCAAGGACAGTGCTCTACCCGGGCAGCTGGGCGAGCAGCCGGCACCCGCGCAGTGCAGCAGGACGGCGACGCGGCGCTGCAACCTGCAAGGCTTCCGAGCGCGCCGAGACGCACGGGGGAAGTGCCTCGACGCCGCGTCCGGGCTCCAAGGGAGCAGCCTGGCACGTCGGGCGGCAGCGCGGGCGCCCTGGCGCATCGCGAGCGGGACGCCATGGAGCCCGAGGGGAAGAGGCGGCTCTGCTGGAGCCAGGGATTGGGAAGCGCCATACGCTCTGCAAAGGTTGACAGCCTGCAACATCTGGTTAAACTCCAGCTCTCCTTGTTGTGAAGGGCTTGATAACTTGCGACTTGCCCTCAGTCCATTACCTTCTGCTTACTGAGTCACAGAGCATATTACATCTCCCCGCAGAGCACTACAGCAGCTGGGCTATGTTATATGCTGTGTCTGTCTTTCTCAGCATTAGATAATACACTTAAGAGAGCTTTCCATCTAAATCAGTGAAATGCAAACAGAAAATTTCTGTTGTTTCAGCAAAGAGGCCAACTCTAACATTCTGGCTTGGAAACACACATCACACATTTAGATTTTTTTTTTTTTTTTTTTTTTTTTGCCTGTCAGCATGGTTATTTTGATGAGGTTTTGTTTTGCATGTGGACGAGATGAAAGAGACAATTAAGATTTGATTTTTTAATTGGTATGGGATGCATTTTAAACAACAGGAATAGACTTTTCTCAACAAGAACTGCATGTTCTCTTTTCCCAGCGTAACTTAACTTTGACAGAGAGGGCATAAAAATGCAGCCAAATAGCAGCTGAAACGTGAGCTCTGCACTCAGAAGCTAGAAAAACTATTCCAACACAAAGTGCAGAGCAGCTGACTCAGCATACCAACTTAAGGTTATATTTTGGCTTAAATACAATACAAAAGATCCATTCTCTGCTGTACCAAAACTCTTTCCAGCTTTACACAAAAAATTCCAGGAATCACATGGTGAAAGTGTCATTAAATTTCAAGTTGCTGCAAGAGTCACGATTGGATCATGATGAACTCAACTTAGTCTCAACTTAGCTCACTGGTTCTGAGCCAGCAAAATGTTGAGAGAATTAAAAATGCAGGTGAATCACCTGAAGGAGACAACACAGGAGACAGGGCAGGACTGCTCAGATGCCGGAGCAGGGAACAAATGGAGAAGAAGGAGAGCTCCTGGCTGCCGGGWCACAGCCCGGGGGTCTGGACGTGCTCTGGAGTGGGGAGACCCTCCGTGCAGCCGCGTGTGCTCCAGCGAAGAGGCGGGGAGGCCGCTCACAGGAGGGCTGTGACGAGCGCGATAGCCTCCCAGTGCCGCCCGCCCCGGCCTCTGAGCAGCAAGCACGGCCAACGCACCCGCCAAGAGCCATCTCGGAGCAAGAGGAGCCCTCCCGCAGTCCGCACTGGAAAGCCAGAGCGCTCCCAAGCATGGCCCAGGACCTTCCCCCATCCCTGCTCCCACGGGGAGCCCACATTCCCACTCCTCCGAGGCGCACCCGCGATGCAAGCAGCACTCTGTTAGGGGCGCCCGTTGCTGCGCTCTGCTGCAGCCCCTGCACGAGCACCAGGGACCGAGAGGCTGTTGCCTCTCGGGGTGCGGGGCCGTCCCACGCCACCTGCGCGCAGCCCTCCAGCGCTCACCACCCTACGACGCTCTCACCTCCAACCTCTCCTGCCCCACACTGCCATAATTTGCATAAGGGACAAGGAAACTGGAAACACTCATTATAAAGCCACGATTGTTTTGTTTTCTTCAGCTCACCTTATCTTCTTCATTCAGCTCTCCAAGACTCAGCAATTAAAAGAAATTAAGTCATTCATCAAGCCTATTTCAATTACCTGCTGCTGMTAACATCAGAGTACAATTAGCATCTACAAATGAACTAAGCACCAACTGCCAGGCAGGAACAGAAACTGATTTACAGCCAGGGCAGCCTGCAGGAGCGCAGATCCAGCTGCCAGCAGCCCGCGTGGCCATGCCAGTCCAGCATGCCGGTCCAGCACCCCCGGCCCAGCCAACGCTCCCCCGTCTCCTCCACACCCGGCACCACCAGACAGAAAGGACATCTCTCTGGTACCAGCACTAACTTCCAGCCTGTCAGCAGGATGTCAGGACTTCTCCTTAGAGTCTAGGAATACTTTTTTTCTATTATTCTAATAAATACACTCTGAAAGCAAACTTAGTTAGAATTTGAACCATGTAATTCCTAAGTTTCAAGGCAGCAACATATTGATGTGCCCTGTTGACAAGAATCCAGACAAGCTGCCCAGTAATAAACAATGCCGCTCCTTTCCTAGTGCAAAACTTCTTATATTTTCTTCTGACATCCGCACAGCTCTACCTTCTCGTTACCCTTCAGCAATGATCATGTGTGTCCCAATACATACGGAATTACTAACCTGCTTAGAAAGGCGATGCATAACATGAGCATGCAATCTCTCAAGCACCTGTTTATTTTATGAAGACAGACTGGCCAAGCTGGGTATCTACGAAGCCAGCACACAGCGACCCTCCGGGATCCTGGCAGCAGCTCCGATAATCACTGCATTCTCTGGCTGACAAGCTGTGCTCCACATCAGGGCCTTACCTAGATTGGAGGAGGCTCTGCCTTCAGCAGCTCGGTCCTGCAGGCTCTCAGCAATGTGCAGCTGCTCTTCATGGTACTGCTTAGCCCTCTCCAGGTCCTGCATACATCTAGCTGCATGGCCCAGACCAGCATAAGCTCGCATCTCAATGGCCTTCTCAGCCAGCTCCTGGGCCAACTCCAGCACATAGTTGTGGTAGGACATGGCTTTGTCGAAGTTCCTCCGGTAGTGGTAAGCACTGCCTAGGTTGCTGTAGGCTCGGGCTTCCTCACGCTTGTTCCCCAGCTCCTTGGCGATCTTAAGATGCTGTTCATGGCATTGCACGGCATTTTCAAAATCCCCCATTGCAATGTACACTGCCCCCATGTTGCCCAGCTCCCGAGCCTCAGAGAGTTCATCTTTGGACTGCTTTGCGAGGAGGACGCACTGCTTGTGGCTAGCCAGCGCGTTTGGGTAATCTCCAATGGCTGTGTACACATGGCCCAAACTGCTCAGTGCTGAGGACGCTGCCTGCAGGGGTGAGAGAGAAAAGGTAAGTACAAGTCCTCATGGAAACAGTCAGATGGACCCAGCCCAGCCCCAGAAATCAGTCACCAAAGGCCTCTCTGCAGAGGCTGCAGCTACCAGCAGGGAGACCTTCTTGCTCCAGTTTCCCCCTCTCCTTGGGCAGCCCAGGTTATGGCAGTAGGGATGGGGTTGGCTTGGGAGCACCAGACTAGGAGCACATGGGCATTGCCTCCCTCCAGGGCATGCAGCGTGTGGGTACCGGACAGGAGGAAGGGGCTGTGGCTGCCGGGAACTGCCGGAATGCCAGGAGACGCAGGGACGGATGAGCCCGAGGGCACCGCCCCCACAGCAGTCATCACTCACAGTACCTCTCACACACACCCCAACACCCACGCTCAGTCTTATTAAAGCAAGCAGAAGTCCTGTGTAGAGCAGCTCTGGAGAGGGCAGACAAGCAACGACACTCCGCTGCAGAAACCATCACCAAGGAGCGTGTGCCTTGTCCCACCCTGAGCTCACGTCAGCGCAGCGACCTCTGTGCACCGTGTTGGCCRAGCACCCGCAGTCTGGAGACCAAGGTGCTGCTCTTGCCTCCCTGCAACGTGAGCTGGTCGCTGTGCGCCCAGCCACACCTCCACGCGCTTTTGCCTGGCCACACTGACCTACCAAGAGCACGATTATTGCTGTGCAGCATCCAAGTCCTTGCAGCACAAAACCATTCGTTACCAAGCCCCAAACAACCTCGGCACTGCAGCAAAGAACTTCAAGAAGCCACAGTCCCCTCCCCTGGAGAGATCCTGAGCAAATACAAACACCTATTTGAAATCTTGAGCTCTTGCCATGTAAAAACAACTGTATTTAACAGGACAAATAATTAGAGAGTCAGATTCCTTGGCCCACTGCATGTGCAAGGACACTGGCTCCTTTTCCACCTGGAGAAGGCAGAGCACGGGGCCCAGAGCTCAGTGTAGAGCTGCATGTGCCTCTGCCCAGCTGCTTGCTCTGAGCCCTGACCCCAATAATCCTCCTGCAGAGGAGGTCCTGGCAGAGGCATTTCCTTCACTACCAGCCACACCTGTGACCCACTTCCACAAACCATCTTCTCCAAGCCTCCAGACAGCACCAGGAGTAACTTCACGGAGATCAGTCTCACCCCAGCATCAGAGCTCAGTAAAGACCTGCTTCACTCTTCCACTTGGGATGGTGATGCAGCATCTCACACTTAGACATCATCTTGGACACTGCTCCAAGATGGCCTAACTCCATGCTACCAACAAAGAGGCAGCATCACCCCTCTCCTGTCCAGGCCATGCACTTCCAGTAGGCTGGGATGCCTTAGGCTGGCATTGCTGTTCAGGGAGCAGATCTACAGCTTAGGGCTCTTCCTAGGAAGTCTTTTGTGATGGACTGTTCACACTTCCTATTTCCCACCAGAAAGACGTTTGCACTATGTCCTGAGAGCAGGGGAAAAGCCACTTAGCACACAGCAGGATGCAAGGAGGTAGGGTCTCTTTGGCTGCTCCAACATTTCTCTGCTTTATTTTGCTGCTGCTGTCCTGTTACTGCAGCTTGGATTTCCCTCCAGTAAGTCAGACGCTGCTGCTTTTTGCTTGAGGAGCAAGCATATTTCCTTGCCCTGGATCCAGCACCCCTAGGCGCAACAGCAAATGCTCAGGTCAGCCAGCAGCCACCTCCAGGACAGGTGCTACGGCACCGCAGACACTACAGCACAGTCCTGCTGCCAAAGATACCACCCCAAACGTATCAGGCTCACACCRCCATGGCTCCATTAGGAAAATTAGCCTTCAAAGACTTGCAGAAGTTGCAGCAAGAGACGCCTTCATTAAGACTGTTTTTACTAAAATCCTATCACAACTGTAGAGGTAAGGCTAAGGCAAGAAGATCTATGGATCAGAGCAAGAGGCAGACTGCACAGGTGATAAATTATTTTAGTGATCAGCAGCATTAATAGAGTAGTGCTGCCAGACCGAGGATCTGCATCATGTTGTGCTGATACAAATTAACAGATTAATAGGGAAAGCAGCTTTTCTCATACAAGAACCTGTGGTGACAGATTAGCTATTAAATACAATTTACAGATCATGAGATATAGAAGCACTACCTCAGCCAGCTCCATAAATAGCCAAGCTGCATTTGTTTTCCCAGAGGTATCCCTTCAGGCAGCTTAATTAATGTTGAGAACTAACAGAATTTAAGATATTGCTATTTTTTTCACTGGCTGTTGTAGATGAACTTGCAAGAGCAAGGGAGCAGCTTGTCTCCAGGCAGGTGCTCGGTTCAGAAAACCAGGGGCCCAGTGCTCTACTTAACTCCCCAAACCGTGTTGCCCTGTTTCCAACTCCCGTAGCTCCTCCTGCTGCAAGGAGGCTTCAGCTTCTTCCAGGACCTGGCGCTCACCAGCCGCACACGGCCAGGCCGCGCAGGCAGCAGCTCCTCAGGAGCTGCCGAGAGTAGCCGGAGGGGCAGCAGCTCCCGGCTGCAGGAAAGTGGGARCTGCAGCGGCTCCCAACACCCCAGTGGTCCCAGATGCCACCAGCGACCAGGTGCTGGGCTCTGCAGGCAGCACCAGCTGCCCCGCGGGACCAGCCCAAGGCCATGCCTCCCTCCAGCAGCTCATGCACCGGTTCAGTTGCTACTGGTGAGGAAAGGCTCTCACTGAGAAGTGGCTCTGAGGGAGCCTCTGATAAGGCTGCAACAAAACCAACATGACGAGCTATGGGGCGTGAGTTTTCACAAAGCTGTRCGTGACTCAATACTGTGCACATCTTCAACATCACAAGGAGAAAAAGGGAAGGGGGAAGCATGCAGGCACCTTGCACAAGCCAGGTTGGGGCAGTGCATGAGGCCAGCAGGACCTCAAGGTGCAGCTGAGCTCTCCTAATCCCTCTGGCAAGCGACATATTCATTATTGTGCAGGACAGGTAGGGAAGACATTCCAGTAAAAATAAAAGCCAGTGCAACACAACCTTAAACAGAACTGGTACAGCAGCCTTTGCTGCTTTAGAAGATGGGCCACAAGAAAGAGGATGGAAATGCCTTCCTAGAAAAATGGGAGTTAGATGCAGCAACAACTGTTCTCTTGAGTTATTACAGGGAAAAACTCTGGACATTCTTGTGTGCAAACTAGTGAAGCAGATGACCAAAGGCAAAGACACAGGTAGACAGAGACTCTGATAATCTAATAGACTATGCCTAAGGAAGAGAGGCAAGCAAAGAAAGCAAAAGACCTCAGATTCTCTGCACAAGAGACCTGTCAGATACAGAGTCTGTTCATAATGCATAAGAAATCTTTAGGGCTCCTAGACTGGGAAGCAGATCACATGAAGTAAAATTTGTATGTATTTGCAGGATTCACATAATCCCTTTGCCCAACAGCATTTCCAGCACAAGACGAAGAGCTAGAATGAACACTACGAGCCTGGCAGACAGCCTGAGAGCACGAGAGAAGACTTGGCTCATGTTGCTGAATGTCTAGAGCTTGACCATCCAAACTAGCATGCAGGAGGAGACCAAAAGAGAAATAGGAAATAGATAAAAGGGTGATGAAAAACACTCCATCTTGATAGGAAAGGTGCAACTGTTTCCAGAGGCATGGCTGATGGTCATGCAGACAACCCAACAAATGCAGAAAGGCCACCTCTAGCCTTCACTGGCGCTTTCTCATTAGTGTTTCCATTGTGTTTTATTCTGCAGCTGTCTGAAGTATTAGCTGATCCTGAGTGCTCTCCAAGAGCCTCTTCTCCATCACTCTGGAGTATGCATGAACAGAGCACTTCAGCTCCCTATGGGCTGGTTGCCTGAACCATCTCCTCTCCAGCAAGATAACATCAGGGCTCTCTATGCACTTTTAGGACTGATTAGTGGAAAGGCTGAGGAGTTCAATATCAAAGACGTCTGGGGGGGAAAAAAATGATGATTAGATCTGCTAGGGCCTACGAATGGCTCACTTCAGGGGGTGGTAATAGACTCGGGAAGATTAATTCATCACTGTGTGCTTAACATAATCCTCCCTATAGCACTGTCAACTAGGAACTCTAAGTGGTGACACGCGGACTAACAGGAGAGAGGTATTCCCACCTGCACTGGCATGGGCATCACCACCTTGCCCTGGGAGCAAGGGGCCAGCACTACCCATGTGCGTGAGCTACCGACTCCAGCTGCACCAGTAAGAACCCTCGCCGGGTAGCAGGGTGATGGGAGACCAGAGCTTCATGGCAGAAGGGTTTTGCATCAAGAAACAGACAAAATTAATATTTTATATATCTGACAAAGACAATTTTTACAGAAGTTGCTTACCTCTACAATTGTATCATTTCTCTAATAGAAAGCAGGTTCTGCTGCCACACACCTGAAGGGAGGGAGATTTGAATAACGTTTCTAATTGCTCTCTTCTACCTGGGAGCATGAACCTGCTTGGGTTTTCCAGATGAGACTGATGTTAAACAGATCCACACCACAAAATGACAACCAATAGTGACCTGGTAGCTGGGAGAAGTTTTCGTCAGATATTTCACCTAAGCCACAGAATAATTGTGTAATCAGTCAAAATAGTTTATGTAACATAATTGAGATGAATTGAATATCTTGAATGAAGACACTGTACAACAGTCTGCATCCTGATGCAGGAAAGGCAGAAACACACGTGCAAGGCTGCCTCAGTTCCCCCATGCAATCACCAACGAGAGATCAGCCAGAGATGCAGCTCTTACAGCCCCAGTGGGGAGCACTGGTGTGGAGGAGGCGTCTGAACTGCAGCGCCCAACACAGCGGCAGCCGCAGCCTCGCGGAGCTGTCGGCCGAGCAGCCGAGTGTGGCCGCCCTTGGGCTCAGCACGGCCGCTGCGCTGCAGCCTGGGGTCCTCACTAAGAATTATCAGACCTTTAGGCTTTCCAAACTGATGAATTTGAACAATCCTCTGAGTTTACAAGCACAGGCATGCAAATACATTGTGCCCTCTGCTCGCAGTTAATGCCAGCCTGCAG